TTCGGCCACCCTAATTCGGCTATCACAATTCGGCCATTGCATTTTAGTCCCGAAAATTTGGCCACTACAATTCGGGCACCACACTTCGGCCACGAAATTTCGACCATCACAATTCGGCCACCAAAATTCGGCCACCACACTTCGGCCATTATGTTTCCCTGACGCGGTGTATCTTCAAATATATAAAAGCATTACTTTCTGCACATGCCATCTTTCAATTTTTTGCAATGTTTTCCAACTGAATAGTGCAGTTATGCTCGCAATTAGTTTAATTAGGGTAACAATTAATTATTCGCAATTTTGTTACGCATCAAAAATTGTCATTCGTTTTCCTTTCATAAAACGATGAAGAAAATTGTGTGGCTACAATGTAGTCAACACAAATCAATATCGACGTGAAAATTTTGTGACGTCGTGTTTCTCGAAGGAACACATGAATTCCGAATAATTATGTGAAGTGCATATATTCCATATATGGTAAACAATTGAAGAACTCTTCTCGGAGGGTCTCGCAGCGAACAAAAATCGTGGATAAAAATTGCGCGTTTCAAAATGATGTTTTTTCTTTGTTTTGAGAAATTTTGACGACGTCGTTTGGAAAATTTGCCGGCATGCGCCTTTGAATGGGTCCCAAAACGAACACTGGCGTGAGAAAGCCGAACACTCGAACTAGTAGTTCTCTTCACGCTTACCAGATTTTTTTTTTGGAGTTGAGAGCCAACAAAAAAAACAATTCCGGAATTTTCGGGAAATCTCTCGAAACGCGCGCGGCGAATCAATTATGCGCGATGCCGCCGAAAAAAAAAGCAGGCGACAACGAAAAAGAGCTCGAAAATAATAAAAAAAAAGTCAACAAAAAAAAAAGAAACACGGTAACTAGGGAGAGAGAGAGAGAGAGAGAGAGAGAGAGAGAGAGAGAGAGAGAGAGAGAGAGAGAGAGAGAGAGAGAGAGCAGAAGCCGCTTTTGAGCACACCATAAAATTGTTGTCGATAATTGTTTTTGGCGACTTTTTGCGAGGCGTCGAATGGATTAAATTGGATGGGCATCGACGATGAATTAATTGTTGGTACGCATTCGCGACAATGATAGTGGAAGGTGGCGCGTCGCGGTCGCGTTGCGGTCAAGGCCGACGATGGAGAGAGAAGTTTGAATTTCGCGCGCCTTGGTCCCGAAGCGAAATCCATAAACAACGACGGCGACTCGTATGGTAGTGTATTTCTATACGAGACCCAAGGCGGCAATTCAACAAATTTTTTTTTCATTCTTAAGTCGAGCGCTGCGAGACCATTTGATGCCAATCACACCGGGGAATGAAAATTGTCGAGTATTTGAGGGATTCCATATTTGAACACAAAAAAAAACAAACCATTGAAAATCATGTGAAAAATGTACAAATAATAAAAATAGGAAAAAGGCCCGGAGGCGAGAAATTCGGGTCTAGACTCGATCAAACATTCAACATGAAATCCGAAATTTTTTTTCTGGGAACTTCTCGCGATGGGACCCAAAATTGGCGGGAAATTGAAGATTTGAAATAATTTGCAAATAGCGCAAAACGGCATGCTCGTTATTTTGGTGTGTTGCCCAAATTTTTTTTTATTCTCTCAAGACTTGACGGCAAACAATTATGAATGAGTGATACATGCCTTTGAGACCAAAAAGGTTCCGAAAAAAAACCAAACAAAAAACAAAAAATTTGATTCAAAACCGAACGAGTTTTGGAGCCATAATGAAGAATTTTCGAAAAAATGCAAAAAAAAATATTTATGCCAGCGGATTTTTTTTCGCATTTTTCACGAGGCCTGTAAAACATTCAAGATTTATTCTTTTTTTTTCGTTTAGCGCATATGTATTTTTTTTTACAGAAAATGTACATCGGGTCTCGTAGAGAATTTAGATTTTCCCGAAATAATTTAAGGGGGAAAATATTTTTTTTAATTTTTGGTACGTCGAAATTTAGAACTCTCTCGTAAATCTACCCGCGTACAACAATTGACAAGTTCATCTCATCGTCTTGAAATATTTGACACGTGTCGAAATCAGCGGCGGTCTAATTCGAAATTAATTGCGGAAAATTGGCAAAAAATTTAAGCCGAGTTGAACTCGATTTGTCAATGGAGCGCAATTGCAACCCTTCTATTTCATTATTTGACCGATTCAATCTTCAACAATGCTTATATCTTTTGCCGGACCACAAGAGGCAATATGATCGAAAAGTTATGATTGGCGTTTGAGAAAAACTAAAATATGAAAAAAATGCAATTGCGCTCTATTGATAATCGAGTTTTACTACTTTGGCTATGTGCCAATGCGTCAGCGAGAAGTTGACTGCGTACATTGCATTATATCGTACGCGCATTTAATATTCAGTCAACGATACAATTTGCAGACCCCCCCCCTGCCTTCCTTCAATCGTCTGACGCTGACAATACAATGAAGCTGGAAATACAGAAAAAACTATGTAGGTTGTTGTCAAGATCAAAAAAATTGCCAATTTTGGAAGAATAAAAGCCACGTCGTTTATGGGTGATTTTCGCGTCAACTCTTTTCCATATTTCCGACTCACATTTTGGCGGTTATTGGCAAATTCTGCTAATAGTTGTGAGCGCCTCAGCATATCAATTACCAATTGTTATGAAAAAAATAAAAAAAAAGAATTGAAATTTTGTCTAATTTTTTCTCTGCATTGAACCGTTAAAAAAAAATGAAAAATGTCATTTAAAGGTACATTATCATTTTGAAACCAAAAGATGTCAACCCAATTTTGGTTCATGAAAAATTAACCCCTTTAAGGTTAGTCAGAATTTGAAGGATATATTTTTTTTTTCAAATTTCCCTCTCATAGACTTTTTTTTTCTTTCTCAAAAAATGATTAAATATATTGGCGGTTCAACAATTTTTTTTTGACTAAATCACTTTTTTTCTTGGTTGTGGTTCGACAAAATACGCCAAAAATGAGGAGTTTGTAGATCAAAAATTAACCCAGAAAATGTCCGCAGCAGAATAATAATGAATCATTCGAATTTGAACCTGTTAAAGCGTACTATACAGTGCTCTATAGTGTTACTCAAGTATGTAAAAGTTAATTGGGTACTAATTGCGAGTCAGGGTTGTCAAAATTAGGCCCAGGGCCCACGGGGCTCATATTTTTATAAATTTTCCATAAAAAATAAAGTTTTTCTCAAAAATGTGTGTTGTTCAATTTAAAAAAAAAAACAGCACACTGTGTTATAAATCGCCCGACAGAAACCATTTTTATGCATTTTTGAGCAAAAAAGAGCATAGAAATTAATATTTTCTATGGAAAAAGAAAACGAAAAAAGAGAGATGGGAAGGCGTCGCTCAAAAATTCATGAACTCGATTTATTATTAGTGGTGTTCCGACACTGGCAGCGAAAAAAAAAGGAATGGTGGATTTGCTCCAGAATTTTGGTTGCCAACGAACGAATCTCAAGGGGATTCGCCCGAAAAAAATGTTTGATGAACATTAAGCTTTGATGATGATGATGATGTGATTCAAGATGGATGACAATTTTGCGCTTCACATTTTTTTTTCTGTTAGATCGGCTAACTAGCATTTCGATCTTCAGCAGGTTTTTAGAGGAAAACTATAAGTCTTAGCGCGCTCGGCATAGGGTTTTAATGGTTTTTGAAATGTTTTTATTTTATATTTCAACTGGAGATTTTCAAATTTTTGAGGGGCTCGTTTTGAAGTTTTAGCTCAATGAGAGATATTGGCGAAAAACCAATCCCTCTAGAATTTGTCCAATTTTCTGACGCTATCAGTACGGCACTCCAATAATTCATATTGCCCTCAGTTTAGGCTAAAACGCGGGCGACATCTAGATCGAAGAATTTCAATTCATCCTTAGTATTCTAATGGACATATCGGACGAACTGCTCGCTGTCATCAATTTTTCTTTTGGCAATTTTCAAATCCAAAACAACCCGTGCCAATTGGAAACATTTATTACGCTAAAAGTGGTCTTCCCCGTAAATGTGGAGTGTCGTTGCTGATTCCGCAATTTTACAAATTTTCTTATTTATAGGTTTCCATGAAAAGATTTCGTTCTGAAAAATCTGAAATATTATAATTATTAATTACTCGTTTTCTCGATTCTCATTTCCTGCTCATAAATAGATTAATCCTCATTTTCGTTTGGCTAAGTGAGCATACTAGAAGAACGAAATAGATTGCGAAGAAATTCAAATCGTATATGAAAAAATCGTAATCGTATTTGGCCGCGTTTGAAGAACGATGTGGTTTTATAGGATTGGGATTTCTTCGTATAGAAATTTGAATCATTTACCAGAGCTACAGGAAAAAAAAGAAATAAAATTTTTATTAAATGCGATTTTAATTGAAGTCAACTTGATAAAGCAAAATGGGTGGCATTTTTGTGAGTAATGAAATGCTCTGGTACCAATTGTATCCATCAAAATTCGGCTCCGGAATCAACCTTATCCGATCGGAAATTCTACAGATAAAATTGTAAAATTGTCAGATCCGTTCTGTTTTTCTTATTCAATTCGGATCGGATCATATAAATTACTAATCGGATCCTACAAATTCCCAAAAATCCAATAGGATCTGACTATTTTACAATCTTATCCATAGAATTTCCAATCGGATCTGATTGATTCCGGAGTCGAATTTTGTCGAATCCAATTGGTTTTAAATTACCAGGGTAATTAAGGGGGTAGATTTACGGGCGTTGCGGTTATTTCGCCTTAAAACACTCATTTTGACAATTTTTAATTTTTGTAAATGCTTGACCAAAAAGCGTGGCGAGACGCGTACTTAAAGGCGCGCTCCGTAAATCTACCCCACATGCATATATAAAAAGTAATGAAGGTAAAAAAAAATGAAAGAAACAGGAAAAATCAATGAATGAGTTTTTAACAGAATTCGTGCGAGAAAAAAAATCGGAGAGAATATGAGTATCTGTTTAAAACAACCAACATCAGAAATTAAAAAAATTCGACAGAAAAAAAAACATTAGTCCATAATTTTTTGGAGAATCTCCAATTTTTGACCGGAAAGTTTATAGGCTTTGAGGTCGTTTAAGATGAATTTCAAACTGAAATGCAATTATTAACATTTTTTAAATCAATTAAACCACAAACCGATTTATAAACTGCGCTTCGCCTCTTCTCGGCACCCCCAACACCGAATAACATTTCCAAAACGATATTTCGAACGGATTGAATTCATTATGATTGGCTTGCGATTTCGAATACTCCAAGTATTGTCTGAAATTAACAGATTATCGAAAATTGCTGAAGATGCCTCAAAATAAAGCTGACTTGACGACAAAATTGATGATTTGGCAATCTTCGTTCAAAGCGAATGGGACCTCGTGTTCAATCTACAAAAAAAATTTGATATTAAATACACACAAAAAAACTAAAAAAAAACCTTTTTGCCTCTGGTTTTCTTTTTTTCTTCTTTGGTACTGGTGGTCTCATCATCTTCAGTCGGGTTTCGTTTCTCTGAAAATATAAAACCTTCAAATTAAAATTGTCTGCTAAATTATAATCGAAGGGTTTTAAACGTGCCCCATAGAAATGTCTCGCTGTATAGCACCCTCTCACTCTCCCTCTATCTATGTCTCTCGCTTTTTTTTCTCTGCGTCTCTAATACGTCGCGTTCAGGCTTTTCCCATTTGTTTGACTCTGTTAAAATTCTTGCGAATATTTTTACTTTTCATTAACGCAGCGATTAATCCATCGCCGCGCCCCTCGTAAATCGCCACATCAGAGCCGCCGCGCACACACAACCGACTGCTACAGTAACGGCGCGAGGAAAGAAGGAGGGCGCACGTTTTATTCTAATTTTTTGGCCCATTTCCCTTAATTTTAGGGTTTTTTCTTTTGGCTACATTCTTATTCCATTACTTCCGCTAACGTTATTATTCGTTCTAGTGATGCCCGTTGACACGCCCGACGCTCCGCCGGACCTTCAAGTCTCACCACAATCCACCCTCGCGTGGATCAAAATCCTGCCGCCGCCTTCGCGGACCAACCAAGTTAGGGTAGCACACGTTCTACCAGTGAACTACAATCTACTTGCTAACAAAGGGGGTTAAAATTATGATTTTTTATTCTGATTAATCCCGGTTGCAAAATACGGTTGTTAGACGGGAAAAGCGGGCACTGGCCCAAATTTCTACAGACTCAATAAAGTCGTCTTGATCAAATCTCGTGTACCACAAAAAAATCACAAACCCATGTTCACAACTCGAATCGTTTTCAGCGTTCTGTCGGCCCCAAATACGAATGTAGTTCCATTATCCAAAGAGCGCACTTCCTGCAAACAAATGCATTGGTAATACGGCGGCCTTTTTTTCTCGACACCCACCATATCTTCGGTTTCCGGCTGATCTGATTCGACGGTGTCAATCTGCGGCTCATCATCCGCCGGCTCCATTTTCATTCGCTTCGCTGCTCCATTTCTCTCAGTACTCGATAAACGTTTTGTGGTCCCGATGGCGCGTGTGGCGTTTTCTTCGTCCCCTGCTGCTTCTTCTGCTGGTGCTGGTGGCGGTGCTTCGTCGTTCTTCTCCGTCTCAACTCGCTTCTCGTGATCCTCATTCGCATTGTTAATCGGCGTGCCCGTAGACCTGAAAAAAATTGTTTTGTTCTACCAAAAAATTCAATGGCTTTATATTTCTGCTCCCCAGTTTGATTCACAACTCACGAGGTAGTTTCATCATTGTCGTTTCGCATTTGCGCAATCTCGATAATTAATTCTTCCAAATATGGCAAAAATTGCATGACGGTGATAACGAACATCTTGAATTGTCCGAACACCCCTTTAAACTTCAATTCATTTCTTTCTTCGCCAGGCTTGATGCTATCATAAATATATTCCAAAATTTCCGTGAAGTGACTCCTGGAAAAAAACGAAACAAATGCCGATTTTGGTGGCCACAATTACTCATAGATCTTCCACAGGTGGCCAAGTGTTTGATGCCACGATGATTTTCGTCCCATCCAGCACATCTTAATGATACGGCGCAGCCAAAACTCGATGCTCGTCAGAAACAACAAGTCGTTTTCGATTTTCAACGTTCTCACCAAAATTCGAAGAGCCTTCTGATGCGATTCGGCCACCTCTTTCGAAACATCCGCGTTCTGAATTCAAGATTTGAATTGAATTGCTCAATGGGTCCCAATAAGCGCGCATTTTTTTTTGAACAGTGACCTTTTCATTGTTCGTTCTTCTTCTTCTAAGAGTATTCCATATTATAGAGTAAAACTAGTTAATTTTTAACTCGGTCAACTGGTCAAAAAGCTGAACAGTTTGCAAAATGAAACCACGAAGTGGTCACACAGACAGTCGGTTAACCAGTTTATTGCAAACAATGGTTAACTAGTTAAACAGTTAACTGGTTTCGAAAATTAACCGGTTAATCCTTTGATTGAAATAACCGATTCCGGGAATTAACCGGTTAATATAGTTAAACGGTTAACCAGTTCGTGAACTTTTGAACTGATCCGTAGAATTGTAATAGAAAAACCAAATTTTTTGCCTTTTAATCTGCTAAAAACAATTGATTATTAACTGATAAGTGAGTATTTTGCGTGAGTACACCGAGAAATTTTCGAAGTTAGCAGTCTCGGTAGTTAACGGGTAGTTGCGCTTACGGGAACAAACAGTCTTAAGAGAGTTTTCACGGGAATTGTAGTAAAAATTGAAAACTATGTAGTAGGGTTTTGAAAACTAGCATAGTTAACATATTTTGATAATGCTCGCACGTATAAAAAGAGTAATAAATAAATAAATTGTTTTTGCATTCGATTGTTTGCAAATAAAGTTATGTCTAAGGTTTTAGTACCATAAGGCTTACGACTAAAATTTAAATATTCACAAATATGTATGCAATATCTTCATTCGTTTAAATTTTTTCTTTATCTGATGCGTAATGTGAGTATTTCGTTTAGGTAGCATATCACTTTTAACTTAGCATTTGTTGGTAGTGAAACGAACATAAAGGAGAAAAAATATTTTTTTTTATTTCACTTAAAAAGTTCCCGTCAAAGTCTCGGAAAATTTTACTCGAGAAAATCTCAGGAAGTCTCCCGGTACTAAATCCTTACATTAGACATAACTTTACTCGCAAACAATCGTATGCAAAACACGATTTATTTATTTATTTATTTATTACTCTATTTATACGTGCGAACATTATCAAAATATGTTAACTATGCTAGTTTTCAAAACCCTACTACATAGTTTTCAATTTAACTACTAGAAAACTCTCTCAAGACTGTCTGTTCCCGTAAGCGCAACTACCCGTTAACTACCCAGACAACTAACTTCGAAAATTTCTCGGTGCTTCCGGGAGTCTCGAGAATTTTGCTTATGGGTAGTTTAGGGAAAAATTCGGTTTTGTTGTAAAATGGAAATCGACGTTAAAAAAAATACTTGCTGCACTGTCGACTTTTGAAAAAAAAAACAATAATAATAATCAAGAAAATACTCACTTATGAGTTAATAATCAATTGTTTTTAGCAGATTAAACTGCAAAAAAATTGGTTTTTCTATTACAAATCTACGGATTAGTTCAAAAGTTCACGAACTAGTTAACCGTTTAACTATATTAACCGGTTAATTCCCGGAATCGGGTATTTCAATCAAAAGGTTAACCGGTTAATTTCAGATACCAGTTAACTGTTTAACTAATTAACCATTGTTTGTAATGAACTGGTTAACTGGTTTTTTCGATAAACCAGTTAATTCTTAATAAGTATTAGATCGAATTATCCAGTTAACCGCCTAAACCCGTTGCATTGAACCGGTTTTACACTATGTTCCATACGAGATCAATATATTCAAAAGCAATATTCAAATTCTAAAGTACCTCAACAAATCTTCCATATTTGCGCAAGAATCGCGTCAAAAAAATGACGCAATTCGAGAAAAAATCGTAATCGCATTTCAAGAGATTGTCAAGATCCACATTTGAAAACTGAGCGTCTAATCTATCGACGACAGCGCAATACAATCTGACGAGCTTCTCCTCGCATTTTGCCGATTTCTTAAAAGGATGAAAAACGATGGTGTGCATCCATTGAATGGCGTTCATCGAATAGCCAATATTTTTCGACGTCAGCATCTTCAAAATTCGAATTGAATTCATCGAATTGGATCGCAATTCAACTCACATTATTGATAATCGTGTCGTAAATTTCCGAGTTCAATACCGTCTCAACTTCATAGTTAATGCGACGGTACAACGTCTTCGTCGCTTCATTAACGATTCCCTCTGAGCCCAACTCTTTGAGAACGGCCAACAACGTCAAGACTTGACAGCGAATGGTTTCCGATGGTCTCCAGTCCATGATGAACCTCTGAAAATCATCGACAGTTTTATTATTTGAGGTCAACATCTTTCAAATTAATTTTATGGAGGGATCGAAAAAAAAATAATGTGCTGTCAAGAACGGATTAGAATGCCAATCGTGTTGGTCCCAAGAGCACCTTGAATAATTGTGGACCATCGGAATTTTTGGCAATGTTCCGAAGATCAACATTTCGGCAATTTTCCCGATAAATTTTTTCAATTTTAATTCTAAAAAATCGGCGTCCGACGAGTGATGCACACGGTTAGATTTACGGGGTGCGCCTTTAAAAATCGTCTCGAGAATTTGGATTTTGATGCATTTTCTTGAACTATTCGGATTTTCTTGGTGAGTTTGGCGTTTCCTTGAATTTCCATTAACCATCATCAAACCAAACCTTTAATAATCAATTAGTCCGCGCGAGACCAATAGAAAGACGCATCCTCGTAAATCTACCCCAGACGCCGACAATATGTGTGCCCCAAACTTACTATAGAATTAAACAAATTATTTTCCCCCATAAATTATCTCGGGAAAATCTAAATTCAAAAATTTCAATTTTTCGTAACTCATCGTCAGATTTTTGAGTAAGCAATAATGCGCCTTTAATGATGATGATGACAATTAGCATTTGAATTTTAGAATGGTTCAGGAATCTTTGTGCATCATAAAAGTTGCTTGAAAACTAAATTTTGGATGAGACAAATAGTTGGCAACATTTTGGTAGTTCGCCACGAGACCTCGCCAATCGCTACAGTACCAAAGGTGTCAATTGCCACTCATATAAATAATCAATGACTTTCTTCTTGTGAGCCATGAGTTTTTAAGCATTATTTATGTGCGAAAATTCTTATCGCAATTATTTTCTGTATACAGAGAATGAATTCAAATAGTATATAAGGCAGAAGAAAAAATAAAATAAAAAGTGAAACGAAGAGAATTGAATTGATTTAGAAATGAGAAGAGTGGTGGAAGTGATCGATTTTATTTGCGATGAACAAAAACGCATAAGAAAAAGCGCGTGACAAAAATTATAACATTCAAAATGGAATCGAGACGAATCCGAAACGATTGCACATAGTGGCGAGTGATTGTTGAAGGTGAAGAGAGATAGACAATCGGGTTCGGAAGCGACGACTCTGGATACGACGTTGATGACTCATTGATGATTGTTGATGACTCTTTCGCTTATTTTTGTATTCGGCCCCACAAAATAAATTGATTTTTCAAAGAGGTGCCAAAAATTGTCAACAATGATGGCCGGTTTTTGGATTTGAAATCGAGCAATTTGCAAATTCATTTTATGGGGGACTGATGATCGCCGATCCAAGTTTGCTCATGGTATTCAGAGAGTATATAAATAATAATTTTATAATTGTATTGTGGTAGATTTGAGGTGCAATTATGTACTGTATCATTTGAATTTGGGTCCCATGTGGAATTATTCTTAGAAGCACAATCATTCCAAGCATTTTGATTGCTAGCGAAAGTGTCATGAGAACCTTGAGGTCCAATCATCTGATATTCCGCTCAATTCAAAATTTTGAAATGAGTCCAACAGACAACTCAAGATCAGAACATCCTCATTTTTAGTTTTTTTCTAGAAATTCGCCTAATACTTGTTCATTGCTCTCGTAATTCAGATCCAATCGGATCCGACAATTTTACAATTTTTTTTCCAGTGGGATCGGGTTGAGCCGGATTTTGCCGGATCCGAGTGGTTTTGGGTTGCGAGAGGACCCACAATTGAAAATTTCTAAAATTTCAAAAACTATCGGCGATCCGAAATTCGTTTGGGTGACCTATAAAACGCTTTTTGTGTAACAGAAATAGAACAGATAATTTGAAACCTAAGAAAATACGATTTTTACTTCACTTCTTCACTTAGTCGCGAACCACAGCTTTCCAAGCTTTTCGGTCCTTGGCTTGGGTGGACCAGGGGGTGATAACGGCTCCTTCAGCTGTTCTCTTCAGACCATCTCATGGGACCCCTTCCTCTTGGCCGGGTCCAATTCCACGGCCGCCACTCCGTTAGAAGAGTAGTCCATCTTCCATCTGTTCTTCTAGCAGCCCAGGTCATCTTCCTCTTCGTGATGTGGTGTAGGGGGTCCCGAACTTTAGACATGATGCGGATGTCCTCTCGATGAAGATCTTGTTCACGTTGTTGTGATAACCTGAGGCCAACCAATCTTCGCTCAAGCGCAGCGTGACTAATTCGGACTCTCTCGGCAAGAGCTTTGGTGAAGGTCCAAGTCTCTGATCCGTAAGTCAGCGCTGGGAGAACAATGGAATCGAAAGGCTGTGCGCTGTGCGAGGACCCACAATTGAAAATTTCTAAAATTTCAAAAACTATCGGCGATCCGAAATTAGTTTGTGGGGTCTATAAAACGCTTTTCGTGTAAAAGAAATCGAACAGAAAATTCGAAACCTAAGAAAATACGATTTTAACATTTTTAATAATTTGTCAGCCCCAATTGTTTCATCATTTCAACACTTTTATCATTAATTCGTGATTTTATGTTAATCTGGCGAATTTCCCACCAAAGGTTTCGGAAACTCGATAATTTGAAATGCCAAAAATCATAATCTTCTGAAGTCAAAATTCAGCCGAGCTCCTTCGAATCTTCGCTTTTCCTTTCTACGAATTTGTCGATGTTTCTCAATCTAATCGTATTCCATATGAGACCCAATGTGTACAAATGATTTCTTCCCAAATTCGTCGGACTGAATCAAGGTTGTCAAAATGGGGCCCCTAGGGCCCTTCGGGAACACCATTCTCAGCAAAAGACTTACAACCACAAAAAAGTACGGTATATTTATTCCCATGGTTTTAATTGAGATTTGAATTACCGCATTAATAAGGTCGACATTTTTTCGATCTTCTTAAGAACCATCGGATTAGAGAAAATTGAATTCTGAAATGTGCTGAAAATCGCAATTTTAGACAAAATCGCTGAACATTGATGCCAAAAATCAAATGAATTATTCAAATAGCTTGATGGCGAAGAATCTGCAAGAAGACGTCGAGTTCCTAATTGCGATTAATTAGCTTCTGAGCCAAATCTATTTAGTTTAGTCGCACAAGGTGCTCATTTATTCAAAACACCTCATTAAAATTTATCGGAATTGTCTTTTAATGAAGCTCTTCGTGTGCGAAAAGCCGTTGCTACTTTTGAGTTCGGACCCTCTTAAATTGACACACATATCGCTTTTATTGCAGTTTTCTTAAATTCGCAAAAATCTAAACTTTCATTTTTTTTTTTGCAATTATACTTTGCGGGTGCTCAAAGCTTCAAAATTATTTGCAAAAGGTCCCGCCGCGAATTCCATTCCCTCAATAACTTGGAAAATTCTGTTGCCGCTCGCAATAAGCCTGGTTTTTCATTCCAAATAAGGCAAATTATGATGTTAAACTCTTTTGCCATTGATTTTTTGAATAGTCATTGGCCGCGAATCAATTTTTGAAGTCGGCCAAACGTTCAGATGTGTAATAGTATGCTATCATTCGCTTTGTGTTGAAGATCCATTCTTGATTTTTCCAGTTCTCATTTCCTTCACAAAAACTGCGTTGTAATTTTTCCGAACATATTTTTTATTTTATAAAAAATGAATGCGCGAGAAAATGTTTGGAACAACTTATCATGAAACAACTGCTTTTATTCGGTGCCCTCGCCGTTGTGGCTACCCGATGACCTCATTCTGCGAACACTCTCGTGCTCGTTACTCCTTAGATATGCTCTCTTATTAGCTATATTTATTCTGCTAAATGACGCCATTTTCAATATGACTAATAATTCTCAAAAATTCAATTTCACGACCCGTTAAATAGATGTTAAACAGTAATTTAATATGTCAATTTTTGAGGGAAATTCAAGTTTGCATAACTCGTAAAATTTTAAAATTTTAAAAGCAAAATTAGATTTCTGATGACTACGGTATGCAAATTTAAGAATGTCCGCAACGTGTTTGCACAAATTAATAATATTTTTTTGAAATTCAATGAATTTTTTATTTAAATTATTGCAAAACACTCATTTTTCAATATATTTTCTTTGTTTTTAATTTATCGTTTTTTTTATGTCAAAAAAAGTGAAGAGAGCAAATGCAAGCGAGCGAAACGTTCCCCACAATAATTTTCGACAATAATCTCGCCTTGCCTCATCGTTTTCCATCATCTCCTTTTTAATTTTTGCTAATATTGTAAGAAGGCACGCTCCCACATGGACTGTTGCTTGTGTTGCACCTCGCGTTGTTGCACACCATCTGGTGCATTTGAAAATAACCAATAACCAGCGTTTGCGGCGGAGCGCGTTTGCTCACCGCGTTGTTCTTCGTCGCCGTTTGTTGTCTGCGTTTACGCGCGTTTCGTTGAAAATCCTCGTTTTAATTCGTGCAAATTTAAAGGCAATATGCCTCCGAGACGTCGCCGCCAGAAGCCGTCACCATCACCATCACCATCACCAGCTCCACCCATTGAAATTTATGAAGAAGAAGAACCGGTGTTCCTAGTGACGTCAGGTACGCGTTTTTTGCAAAAAAAAAAATTAAAAATTTGAATAATGCTTTTTTTCAATAAATAAATGTAATTATCTTTAGATTCATCGGACTCTGAAGATGGTCCGGGACCTTCTAATAGGAACGCCACGACATCCAAACGCCATAAGAACAAAAAGGCATCTGTTGAAACTCGGGTTGAAGCTTTTGAAGAGGACGATGATGTGAACACGGAAGATGACGAAGAGGATTTGTTGAATATTGTAAGATAACAATATTTTTTTCGTTTTGCGGAAATTCCAATTTCCAGACGGTTCCGCCGCGTCCAATTGACATGATGAACCAGCCCGGCAACTATCGCTTGATGGTTTTGAAGATAATCGTCGAGAACTTCAAAAGTTATCGTGGTCGCCATACAATTGGACCATTTCATAAGGTAGAAAGAGAGAATTGAATTTGGCTCGCAAAAAAAAACGATGTAGTCATTTTAAGAGGGGGTTGTAATGCAATATAGACAAATACTTAAACTAATTTTCATATTAGAGAAAAAATTAAATTAATTCAGAACCTCACGATGATCTTGGGGCCGAATGGAAGTGGAAAATCGAACGTGATTGATTCTCTTCTCTTCGTGTTCGGATTCCGAAGCAGTAAAATTCGCTCGAAGAAGCTGTCATCGCTGATTCATACGGCCGCGGCATTGGGAGACAAACAGTGCACGTTTTGTCGCGTCGAAATCGTCTTTCAAATGATTAAAGATGTGACAACTTGAAGTGACACCGACATTCATTAAGATTTTTCAATTTTCAGACCGATGATAAGTATTATGTGAAGCCGAACTCGCGATTCTCAATTGCGCGCACCGCGTATTCCGACAGCACCTCGAAATATGCGATTAACGGGCAGCCGGCATCGCCGAAAGAAGTCGAAGAGCTTTTATTGAAGTCGGGAATCGATTTGGTTCATAATCGCTTCCTTATTCTACAGGTTTTGCAAAAAAAATGAAAATTTAAAAAGAGCTTTTGATTTTTTAGGGGGAGGTTGAAGCAATTGCAATGATGAAGCCTAAGGCATCTGGTCCCAACGAAGAAGGAATGTTAGAGTATATTGAGGACATTGTTGGATCAAATCGCTTTGTGGTAAGATTTGAATTGATGTGAAACGCTTAAAACAAAGAAAAAAATATGGTCTGATCGATAAATATCGTGAAAACACGTGTTTTGAATGATAAACACTCAACAAATAATTGATGATAGATAATGATAAGCCACACGACTGTCACACCTACTTTTCTCTTCATCTCTCATCATTCTTTTTCAGCCGTATATCAGAAAATTGGAAAATCGTGTGAACGAGTTGGAGGTGAAATGCTGTCAGCAGAGTATGAAGGTTCGGCATGTCGACAAGCTGAAGAAGGAATTGGATCCGGCTGTGAGGCATGCTCGGAGATATGTGAACACTCAGAATGAAGTGGCTTTGATTAAGAACAAACTCATTCAGTGTGAAAGGTCGGTTCTAGACGTGTGCAATTTTATGATTCCAATAATTTTCATTTGTAGATATCGTCTGAACAACGAGAAAGTTCCTCTTGAGAATGAGATCAAAGAGAAAGAGTTGGAGCTTGTTGACCTGGAGAAGCGTAAAAAGGAGCTTCAAACTGAAATCAAAGAGATTGAAGCGACAGAAGCTGAAAATTCTGCGTAATTCCGCCACGTCTCAATTTTATCTAGTTATGCGTAATTATAGCGAGCAGGACAAGATTGCTGATGAGATTGAGAGTTATATGACACAGATTCGAGAGGCGGAGACGGCCGAGACGCGTCGAAAAGCGAATTTGAAAAAGAGCAACAATGAGCTTGTGAGATTGCACAAAGAGCTTGACACGGAGAAGAAGAATGTAAGAATTTAGAAAATTGATTTTTTTTCAAATTATACTGCATTTGGGAAAATTGTCAAAAAAAAAATTTATGAATGGATAAAAAATAGATACTTCTATAGTCTGAACCATTTTCATACATTTTTACTCAATTTTTCTTTCTTTTCCCAGTTGCAGTGAATTATACACGATGAAGTTTTTCGCAGAAAAAAAACCCCCGGTAAAAAATTATCAAAAGTAAAAACCATACGAAGATTACCAAAAAAACCCAGTTTTTGAGCTTTTTACGTTTTTCTCATATATATACTTTTTTAAAAATTTAATGAAAAAAAAAATTTTGTTTATCGCCTTTAATTGTTGTTTTCTTTCGTGGGCTCATTTTCGAACGTCTTTTGGTTTTTTTTTATTTTCCGTATTAACTGAGATTTAGAAAACGGCCGGCGGATTGATCGAATAGGTTTTTAAAAAATCGGTAGTATATTTGACTAGCATGTTTATTAAGGCTTTTTGAACTTTTTAAAAATGGCACTAATTTGTTTTCAAAGAGAAAATTTGTTTTCTTTTAATACAAATTCGGATTTTTATCAGGAAATAGCAAGATTTTGTGACGACAGTACACCGGTACAATTGCCTTGCATTTAGCCTGACCGGATATAATATGAAATAGAAAAATTGAGAAATTCCTGTAAAAAATTGTTTTCAGCGCGCTGAAATTGAAAAGATTCCCGAGAATGCCGAAAAGCGCATTCAAATTCTCACGGAAGAATCGAAAGAGCTCCTCGAGCAAGAGGAACGCGATCTTAAGACGGCGACTGACAATCTGGGAAAGTTTGAGCGAAAAGCTCAGGAGGAGCGGCAGAGAAAGGAAGCGTTTGAAGAGGAATATTCGAGAAAGAACGCGGTTCTCAATGAAGCCAAAATGAAGGTGACGGTGGCCGAAGGAGCACTCAAGGATTTGCAAGAGCTCGCGATTCGCGATCAGAAGCGACTCGAGGAGCTCGTGAGCACCTTGACCGATAGCGAGACGAAATATGAGCAGGCTGTTGAGTACGAATCACATTATTCACGATATTTTTTGAATTGATTTCGATTTCCAGGGAACTTGAGAAGCTTCAAAGAATGCTGCCTCCGGAGCGCGAGACGTTGAAGAGTGTGCAAGCGGAGCTTCCATTTGTTCGACAGAATGAGAAGGAATTGGCTGTGAAGGTGCCGATGATTTTTTAAGATTCTCGATTTAAAAAACCTGAGTTTCAGGCTAATGAGCTTCGGTATCGCTATGAGACTGAGACGGCTGGATACCAGACGCTTCTCAAAGGCTCCAAGGTGCACAACGCTTTATTGAACGCCAAAGCGACAGGACGACTTCCAGGATTGTTGGGAAGATTGGTGAGATCGATAGGAATTTGTTAAATTTTGAATATTGACCTATTTAGGGTGATCTTGGAGCGATTGATGCAATCTATGACGCGGCGATCTCAACAACTTGTCCGCAGCTTGATTGGTACGTTGTTGAGACGGCCGATGATGGACAGAAAGCTATTGATTATTTGATTGAGGTAATTAGAAAGAAGCTGAAATTAGATGAAACCGAAATAAAACTTGCAGCTCTCACTTCCTCGCTGCTCATTCATGTGCCTTGATCAGACATTGAATCCGACGAATGCGATGAATAGGGATAAGAGCTGCTTGTAAGAGCCGGAGTGTGATGATATCTAGCTCGAAATTTGGATTAATTTCAGCCCGGCGCCGCGTTTATTCGATTTATTGAAGATTAGCGAGTCGAGAATCCGCAAGATTTTCTATCAGTGCATTGGCGATTTGATTGTGGTGCCGACGCTTTTGGACGCGCAAAGGATTGATCGTGATTATGCAGGTATGTGGAGTTTTTACATTTTTTTTGAGAGATAATTATTTTCGAAAGCACCCTGATTAATTGTGGACTATCGTGATTGTTTTTTTTTTGGCGGACGGTAATTCTAATTTCGATTTAAACCGTGGGACTATTGTCGAAATCGCGCGTCTGTAACATATTGACAAAAATGCCAGACGACGATGATCCGCGGGCAATTACGCCACTTGACAACGGCCTAATTGCCTGCGGATCGTCGATTTATGCCACTTGACAACGTGGCCTAAATCGACCCTCATATTATGAGACCCAGCTCTATAGTAAACCGCGCCTTCCGGCTCACGCGTCTTCGACAAAACGAATAACCTACGAATCCAACGTGCTGTAAATCTGGGCGGGGTGTTCGTTTTCTTTTAGCGATTTTCATCGAACTGAATTATGACGAGATTATCTCAATTTATTTTTTTTAGGAAAATTCCGAATAGTCACTCATGATGGCAACACGATTGAACGAACTGGTGCGATATCTGGAGGTGGACGCCCGATTACGTAATCGATTTACAGTTTAACTTCAATTAATTAATTTTGGTTAAAATTGTAGAGGCCGCATTGGTCGCGACATCCGACTGCCCCCGACGGAGGAGATGCAGGCCGAGTTCCGAAAGACGCGCGCCGATCTCGAGCAAACGCAGCAGGAGCACAGCGAGGTTCACGCTCATATGCAGGAGGTTTTGACGAGATTCGATGGTCGAATTTGTTAGCTTTGTTTTTTTTTCAGCTTGAAATTAAGAATATGCAATTGACCGAGAAAGTTTATGAGATGAGCGAGAAGATTGAGCACTTGAATGTTTCGATTCCACGATTGAAGGAATCGATAGAGTCGCTCAAAAAAGCCATAAAAACTCAGGAGAAAGAAGCTGCGGTGGAGAAAGTTGATGCGAAGCTCATTCAGAAGAAGGAGGAGGAAATTGAGCAGCTGATTAAAGGTTTGCGTTTCTTTACAACATGTCTGAACGAATATTTTGGTTTTCGTCTTTCAGATCGCAGCATTGCCGAGCATTTGGCTTCGGAGGTGAAGAAGAAGGTTGACAAAAGTTCTGAGAAGATTGATTCGATGTTTAATGAGCTGGTGCAGGTTTGGTGAAGTCGCACAAGGTTCATGGCGATGTTTGATGGTTTTTAGAAATTCAAAGATCGTGCCAAGACCTCACGCGAGAGGCATTTGGAAGTCGAGCAGGAAATTGCCAAAGAGCGCGCTTCCATCATTAACTCGCATCATAATTTAGCTACGGTATTCAGGATTGAACATTTTTGGTTTTGAAATTTTTCTTTTGTTTCAGTGCATTAAAAACATTGACAACATCAATGAGCAGATAATGAATAAGCGAGTTGAATGTGACGCTCTTGCATTGGCTGAAGCGGATGGAAAAGAAGTATTTGGTCTTCAAGACTTGGTTCGGAATCGAAGAGTGAGCTAGTCGTTTCATGATTCCTCTGAATTTGTCGAGTTTCAGAGGAAAGTTGCGCTTTTGCGACAGACCGCTGCCGAACTTCGTCAGAAGCGAAATGAGCTCGATTGTGAGGAGCGTGAGCAAAATAAGAAAGTGCTCGACATGCGCGACAAAGTCACCACACTTAATCAGATGCTTGATGAGATTGAGCTTCATATGGAGAATATTGATAGGCAATTAGCGTTGCTCAAATTGACCCGGGTGCCGAATCTTCGCAAGTTTGACAATATCGAGGTTCGAAGCGATATTGGATGGATGAATTATGATCATGATGATGAGGATAAGTCGAGCGATAGTGATGATTCTGATGCTGACGGTGATGATGATGAGGAAGAGGGCGGCGAGCTGGAAATTCCGACGCTTTCCAATGAAGAGGTTTTGACAATTTCATTTTTCTTTTTGCATCGAAACATTTCTAGATTGAGAATATTGGGCGATCTGAGCGTGACAAAATGCGGAATCAGTTGAAGCAGTATGAACGATACTTGGAAAATAATCGCCACAATACTGATGAGAGCATATTTCGAGAGTATATTCTAAGGGTTTGCACTATTGCTTATTTTTTCTTCAATTTTGTACTCGTTATTTTTTGCAGGGCAAAAAATATATTGCCGAAGTTGGAAAATTGAAGAAGCTCGGCGATCGCCTCCTCGCTCATAAGAAGGTGCTGATTGAGCTGCGAATGCGACGATTGGAGGAGTTCTCTGAGGCGTTGCTGTTTCTTGGCGCCACCACCCAGATGTTGTATCAGTTGATAACGAATGGTGGTGACGCGAGTTTGACGTTCGTCGAAGAAGGCAAAAGTCCGGATCCGTTTGAGTCGGGTGTCAAGTTCTGGTGAGTTGTCGAAACCAATTCGAATGGTCCGTAATTTTCGAATTGCAGTGTTCGTCCGGCTAAGAAGAGCTGGAAGTTGATCGAGAACTTGTCCGGCGGCGAAAAGACACTTGCCTCGTTGTGCTTTGTGTTCGCCATGCACCAATACCGCTCGACGCCGCTTTACGTGATGGACGAGATCGATGCGGCGCTTGATACGCACAACGTTAGCCTGATAGCGAATTACATCAAGAACTCGGAACGCACAAAGAATGCTCAATTCATAATCATATCGCTTCGGAATCAGATGTTCGAGGTTGCGCAGAGATTGATTGGAATTTATAAGGTAACGAGATTTGAGTTGTTGTTGTTGTTTTGTTTTGTTTTTCGAATTACCGTCCAATTTTTAGGTTAATGATTGCACTCATCATGTCGTTTTGGCGCCTTATGAGGCGAAGCAGAAAGCGAAACTGGTTGAGGATGTTTTGAAGAAGAAGATGATCGAGAATGAGAGTGGAGATAGGGATGAGCCGACGACGAGCGATCAGGTTGCTGATTCGCTAGCGGCGAATATGCAGGCTGTCCATATTTCCAAAGGTGGGTGGGACTTTTGAGGACGCTGCGAAATGATTCTGAGGTTTCAGACCGACGCCTACCGATGTTCGGCAAATTCAAATTGGCTTTTGGATTAAATGTGCCGAAAGTTATGCCGGCCAAGGAGGGTCTCAGTCAGGAAGTTGAGGATGAGCCGTCGACTAGTAACATCAGCATGTATAACTTTGATGTATTCTGAAATTGTGCTGAGTGAGATAATTGGAAGCTTATTTCAGGAGGATGATGCTCCGGTTCGTAAACGTCGCCGTCGAACGGTTCAGGAAGAAGACGAAGAAGAGGACGATGATGATGATGATGATGATGAGGATAATGACGATGACGACGGTGATGGACCATCGGAAGAGCCTCGCAGATTGCGTTCAAGGACTATGGACTCTCCAAGAGTTTTGTCGAGATCGACGCGTTCCAGAAAATAGATTCATTATCTTTTCGTTTCAATTATTGGCTTTATCCATTGACTAACACTTTCTTGTATATAATACAATCAAATAATTGCACCAATTACCCACGTGACCTAATTACGTAATTAACCAATATCGTCTTTTTCTTCTGTGATCTCTTCTGTTCCATTGATTAGTTCTGCAATCTTTCCCCCCAAAAAATTATTCCGTTGATGATTGTTTTTTTTTTTCATATTTTGCTAATTTTATTATAATCTCGTTGTTGTATTTATTACTCACCATCTATATATATTTAAATATTTATTAAAATTATATTCAAAATGCATTTTTTCTTTCTAATAAAATTGAATCAGTGTTTTACAATTGCGGCAAACGATTTGAGTGTTGTGTAGTTCATGGATAAAGGGAAAACAGATAGAGAATTGTTAAAATTCGGGTAAATACAGGTTTAGGGAGACCGGAAGTAAATAGATATAATGGAGAATCAATTAATGTAGCTGGATTTGACGACGGAGTAAATGCGATCTGGAATATCGTAGGCGGGAAGACGTTTGAGAACCTCGCGAAAGCTGAAAAAAAATATCATTTTTGTCCGAAGTCTAAATTTGGCAAAATTCCAAAAAAAAAACACTTTGGGAGGGGTGGTTTCATAAAATTACAAAAAATTGGCAATTAGCCAATTTTCACCAGCCAGTTTTTTTTGTCATTTTTTTAACGTCATTTTTTTGCTGCTGTTTTAAATGTAAAAAAATCTTAAAGTCTTGAATCTTAATTAGCTTGCCAATTTTCTAAAATACTGCTAGGAACAAAATTTTGAATTATTTAAATGGCAAAAAACGAACACCCTCGTTACTGGAGTTTATACAAACTATGAGTATTTTTTAACTAGACAAATTTCTCAAAAAGAGAGATTCTCAATGCAACTTACTGGATGGCAATCGCCGAATCGGTTCTGTTCGAGTATCCCTTATTGACATAATCGGTCCAAAAACCCGGCGCGCGTGGTGAAACAAATTTGGCGCCAATCTTTCTGCTCGCAAGAATTTTTCTATACGCATATCGAATATGCTTCTGCTCTTCTTCAACAGTGTACTTTTGCCGCTGAAACAATTTCATAGTTTGCTTTGTCTTTGAGCTTTTTCTCTCTCTCTCTCTCGCTCACCTTTGTGAATGGCACATCAACGATGACCTCGTCGTCGGCCTCCCAGAAATCTGGAGACATCGTCGCGTTGGCTACAGCGCACCTCATTTCCTTTCTTCTTGTGAAATGAATTCGTTTTCGGATCGCATTCATCTGGGTGTTATTCTGAAATGAAACACATTCAAGCGTTCGAGTCGAAAACTAGAAAGTTGATTAACATTGTGAACATCGCATCCAGAAATTGTCTGGAACATTCTACGACCAGTGGAACGCGGTTCAGCTGTCAGCGACGGTGGCAAGGACGTAGAATTCGGAATTCGCGCAACTGGCGCTGCGGGAGGAGCCAATCTGAAAATAATTGATGATTCTTCGAAAATTTGCGAAAATTTTACATTGGCGTTTTAATGCACTCCAAGTGCTTCAAATATTTGAGCGTCGTTGACATCTGCGTCGGCTCGGGCGCCAACTCGCCGGGATAAGGAACCTCCGGTTCCATCTTGACAATACTTCTTTTGTTTAGCTCAGCATTTGATCCTTCGAGCATTTCTCGAACCAATTTAAGATTGGCTCTAAAAACAGATTTTAAAAAACTGAGGTAGATCGACATTTCTTAACACTCACGCGTAGACCGCCATTCGCTCAATGTTCTCTTTTTTCAAATTCTCAGGTGTCAGACAATGACAATCTCTGAACAGCCGTTCGCCGATCGTATTCCAAATGGTAAAACACTTGTCGTGGAGTGATTCCAGGCTATACGCGTGAATAACGAAATTGAGCGCGTAGTCGCGAAGACTCGCCATCGAGTCTTGGACGTCGGCATTCATTATCTAAAAAATGAAACAATATATCAACATTAATTATCGCTGAAACCAACCTCGAGACATTTCGGTTGATGTTTGAAGAAAACACAAAAATATTGCATTACACGGTCCACGAATATCTGGAGTTCGTCATTGCTTTTACACGCATATTTGATATTCTCAACGTCTTTGATCTTCATTCTAATATAGCTGATAACTGTGCGGAAGAGTTCTCGCTGTCGGTCAATATACAATGGGTGATCGCCAATCTCCAATTCGGACAAGGTAACAAGAATTTCGAATGGTGTCTCTTCGTTTGGGATTTTTTCGAAACACTGAATTAATTTTAAATTTAGGTGAAACATCGACAAAACTGCCACTTACCAATTTTGGAGTTAAGTCGAAAAGAGCCGACTTGCAGATGAACGATATTGGTGTGGTTGGCAACATAGAAAGAATATCTCTCAAAAGCGCTTGTTCAATTTGATCATTTGGGATTCCAGTGATTGAGCGACAAAATGCGCAGAAGTGCTCGAACGGATTGCGTTTTTCATCGGATGACTCGGTCATAGTGAAGAACTTTGACTGAAATTTTTTTAAAACAACTTTACGTGTAATTCGCAATTAATACATTTTAATCAATCAACGAAGAAATGAAAAGGAATTATTTTTGAAAAGCTTACGGCACAATTTTGCATCAATATCTGTAAAATAAATGTCTTCTTCTGAAAAAATACAGTTATCAGAATCGGTCGCGGCGAGACTCAGCGCAAAAAAGCGTGTGCCTTTTATTACCGTACCCAGAAAAATTTTTTTCGAAATTCGAATATCCTAAAATTAATTGAGAAATGTACTAATTTCGAGATTTTTTTGCAACTTTCTATTATTTTAATTTTTGCTTTTCGAAAATCAAAAATTTTCATAAAATTGTAGAGAAAAAACTTAATAAAATCGCTAAATTAAAATAAATGAAATAATTGATTAAAGGCTCATTGTGCAAAAAATCAGTTTTGGGCGATTGATTATAGTTTTTTACGAACAAAAATGTTTAAAATTTAATTTACTAAATTAAAAGAGTGAGAATTGGTGTTTGACACTGCTCCTCGTGGTTGTGCCACCTGTCTGTTCACACAATTAAATCACTTATAATTAACCAACAATTAACCAAGTAGAAATGGACAGATAAAGTAGAAGTAGTTAACACCAAAGAGAATTTGATAACATGATCATTCAAAAAAGAAAAAAGAGTCGATTTTTTTTTGCGAAAAGGCGCGCGTGGAAAATTTTCTCGAACCTGCACTAATCCGAAACAAAAACGCGTCTAAAGGAATCTAAAAAAACGCGTCTAAAGGAATTCTTTAATTCCAAACACATATTATTTAGAAAAAAAGACGAGAAAAATTACGTAAGGTCTTTAATTTTTGAAATTTGTCGAAATTCGAACAATTTTTGCGTAATGGTACTGTGCAAAAATCTATGTGCGTTTATATGCGTTCTTCCCAAAATCTGCACTATAAAACACAAAAATCTATTATTTTATTAATCATTTTTTTTAACGAAATGACACTCAGTTTTTTTCTACAAATACAGAAGGGGACATGGGACAAAATGATTCGACGGATCAATTGCGAGGCGGCTATTCGCACTATGGCACGAAACGAAATTATCCGACAAGAAGACGCATGGCACATAATTTATGGCTTATTCTTGATGCGAACGCGCAGTAACTTGAAACAAAAGATGAACAGATTGCGGTGGCGCGATGCCAAAAAGAAAGTGACGCGGGCAAAAAAGCGGGCAGGCGGAGCCGACGGCGCGCAACAAATGAAAATGAGGGCGCACGCCGAATGGGCGTGGCCAAAGTGGTTTGGTCTAGACGCGAATGTTTTTAGATGGTTTTGATAGAGGCTCGAGAGAATTTGAATTTTGATGCCAAGGAATTGTTCGCTGGAGCATATTTTCACACTTGCCGTAATAATGCCATTTTGGCAGCGTGCTGTCAGGAACAATGGCGGATTATCCGTTCGCGCGTTTTCGTCTTGGGTGGCCATTGTTCCGCAAGGTTGAGCTGACTAATTGGCAAATTGTTTGATAATTTCGAAGTATTTATTTTCTGTTTCTGGTTTCGACCAAATCAATACTACTATCACTATTTATTACGATTAAATCATATTTAAAAAACAGTTGAAATTAGAAAAACGAAAAAATAAAACAAAAAAAACACACATAGGTAAAATAATTAGAAATCGATTTCGAAATCTTCCAAGTCGTCGTCGAAATCGAATTCATCATCAGAAGAGTCGTATTCGAATTCTGATTCATCCGACTCATAGTCGGCCTGAAAAATTTTTTTATTTCCGAAATTTTCAATTTGAATTCAACTAACCTCGTAACCATTGATATTTTCGAAACGATTTTGCTGAAATCGTCGTAGAAGAATTCGCTGAAAATCGAGAAATTAAGTCAAAATCGAACAAAAATTTGAAACCTCGATGATTTCGTCCTCATCTTCTTCGTCTTCATCCGAATCGAAACTCGATTCTTCCTCATCCGTTTCCAAATTTTCATCGAGATCGACTGGCTCATTCATAATGAGATAAAAAGTGTCATCACCGAATTGAAAGGCCATCTTATCTGAAAATAAAAGAAGAGAAAGGTATAATTGGAGTCGAGACTGATCTAATGTGGTCCAGCTCGTTCCTTATAAGGGCAATCCACCCACCCAAATTTGGTACATTTTCCCTCGCGATGCTTCACACATTTGCTGCTCATCTCATAAGTGCAAACTATCAAAGCTCTCTCGATTTCTTCAAATCCATCCGCTTCTCACCTTTCCTTCTTTATTTGGCACCCGGTAGGCAAACAGGTGATGATGACGGTGATGGTCCCAATACGGGAAAATAACTCGTGATTTCCCAAACACGTCAGAGAGCACATGATTGTGTACGGTCTTCCGTGGATCATTTCACAGTATTTCCGCTTCTCACATTTTCCCAAAGTAACAATTACGAACAACAACATCGCCTAGAAATACCTGAAAATCTTTTTTTCTCCCGATTTCAACCTTCTCCGCATGGGTCCAAACATTTCCGGAATCTCTCTCAAAAAACCCAGTGTTTATTCCATTTGATTTAAAACACGAGCAGAGCATAACAAAAATAATTTATTAGAAAATCGTGTACAACATCAAATGTTCTATTAGAATTACTAATAAGTCTTAAATAATCTCTCTAAAATTTTAGCGTTGATTAATAGAAAAAGCAAGTGAAAGCATGCGACAAGAGAAAGAGCAAAAAAAACATGTGTTTCTTGGGCACATAAACAATTCTAAAACAAAAATCATCTTAATACAAGAAAGAAGGGCCGGTTGTAACTCCGAAAGGTACACAAGGCTCAAATTGAAATTCAAAAACGTACATTGGGTAATAATGAGAGGTAATAATGAAAAAGAAACGAATTCATTTATGTCTCGACGGGACTTCAGCAACCAGCATTGTCTGGCTTATCACTGCCATTCGAACTCAAATCATTTTTGCTCGACAATGTCCTGCATTTTTTTGATTTAATTTTTTTTTCAAATTCTCGCTTACTCCTTATGCGAATTATTATCGCTTGCGTTTTGATTCGATTGTGTTAGAAGCTGACACTGTAATCAACCATATACCCTTTACGATAAAGAGATTTTAAATACTCACTAAATCAGCAAAATTAAACATCTGCATCGGAGGCGGATTGCCTGGAATCAAGGTTTGCGCAGATTTTTGATAATCGTCATTCTAACAATCAAAAAATAATGATTAAAAAGAAAAAGGAAAAAATACCGTTCTCGGAACTTTGCCTCTTGCCCTTTCCGTCTCTTCAATTCTCCTTTTCGCTGCCCTAAAATCCAAAAAATGAAAATATGATTTCGATTTCCAAAAAATGCTGCTCACGCTCTCGGCGATGTTCCAAATTCGACGAAACCTTTATCGTTCATTAATCCAACATTTTGCAAACCTCGATTTCTATCGATATCATTCGAATTGTTATTGGTTGGAGTGCTAATCGGCAGATTCGGCGAGAACTGAGCAACACCATCGGTGGCTCTTTGAACGATCTAAAAATGTTCAAAACATTTCAAATTAAAAAATTTTGCAACAAAAAAAAGAAACAAGAAACACAAACAATTGGCGGCGAGGCTACTCCTAACTCCGTCAAAGTCACATTTCCATTCGATAGAACGCTCGTCTTCTTCGCATTGTTCTCCATCGCCCGAAATAATCTACAAACGAAACAAAAACACGAAACGAATAAACTATTACTCAAAACTCTTACTCTTGTTGGGCAGAATTTTCCTTCATCAAGCTGTTTAGAATTTCCGTCACTTGTTGAGACGACAACTTAAAACAATTTTAATACGTAGTTAGTTCCAGATTTTGGAATTTAAAAAAAAAAAAACTAATTCAATGTTTTTAAGTGGCAACAATCAAACATTCATTATTTCATCACTGTTTGTGAATTTTATAATAGAAAAAAAAAACCGATTTTTTCCTATATTTATCTTTTTTTTCATACAAATTGTCCTGAAAACTGTTTAAATGATATATTTGAGTATATTTCCGGCGTTGCGCGACTGCGAAAAATTGGCAAAATACCAGAAATCTCTCTGTCTGCGCGATGTGCGCCTTTCACCAACTATCTGCACTCAATACCTTATCGACCAAATTCATTGGCTCTTGTTGATTGGCAGCGGTTTGAACAGGTCCATTCAAAAACGAAAACGGATTTTGTTGATCCACTGGAGTATTTGTTGGCCTAAATTCGATTTATTATTATCTTTTCGTCTTCGGATCGACTCGGCCGTAACGTTTTAACACACTTATAAATTTTCTACGAACATATTTTATTTTTAGATTTTCAACTCCGACGAGATTCTCGTCAATACCTTAATTGAGAACTTTTTTGCGAATTCGGCTAGAACACGATATATTATAAAATATACAAAGATCACAAAAAGAACACCCTGCGTCAATAAAATTTTTGCGCTAAGTTTTATTAACAGGTTGTCTTTAGTACTGTACTATTTTTTAAAAATGGTGCGCGTTTTTATACGATGGAAAGTAATATAACATTCATTACGCTGAAAGTGATCTAATCCGTAAATTTGGAGCATCGTTGCCTGTTTATATTTCAATTTTCTTAATCTTTTTTTCCTGCCTTTAAAAAATTGCTGACCAGCAGCCAAAAATTTCGAATTAAGCCTCATACCATTGAAAAGACGGCAGTGAAGACGGCTGCAAACTTGAATAAGTTTGCCGCGACTGAAAAAAAGATTTTCAAATTTTCTCGTCACTCTTACTCGACATTGGCATACCTGTGGCGTCGGAACTCGATGATATCTTTCCTGTTGTGGGCATGCTCCTCGATTTTCAGATTTTCTAAATCAAATTAACATTTCTCTAAAACTAAAGTTTTGGCAAAACGTTGTTAATAGCGAGTTAAAGGAGAATCCCGTTGGTGGAACCATCCGAATGTCCATTGGATTTAAAAAACCATAGCCGGGACTGAAATTCTCAACTCTATCCATTAATCTGAATAAAAGAAATAAACATTTGAAGATTCGGTTGAACATTGGGCTGATATTGATTTCCCATTGCGAAAAATGGCCTAAAATTACTGTTTCGAAATTTTCTAAAAATTCATCATACATTAGAGGTTTTACACCGGGCATTGGCATCATGAACGGATTTTGCAAGTCGATCTGCAACTAAAATTATTTTTTTCTAATCGTTGGTGAATTGGAGGGGGGGGGGGGGAGGAGGCGGCAGCCGCTCAAAAACACGCCAAAGGGGCATATTTTGAAATATTGTTAACAATTAAATACAGTTAATATATATATGAGATATTTCTAAGGAAAATCTTGTTAAATATTCCAACCAAATGCGCGTTGGAAGACACTTCTGTTTTAGAATTAAACAGCAAGTTATATAAGAAGTCAACATGAGATGATCTATGGTGTAATTTTAATATTAGATTCGCAAAAGCAAACCAAGCACCATGTGCCGATTTTCGTTGGGTTAGTTTCGATGATTATAAGTAGTACTCAAATTCCCACTGTTTAAATTCAAATTTGAATTACTACCACATCGAAAAATGCAATGGCCCAAATTAGGCAAGGCGCTTGCGATGGTAATCTATGAAATTCGGTAATTTGTGGTTGAAATTTTTGCAACAATTATGTTAAGAACCACATTAGGACCACAAATAATTTTCATGTTAAAATTTTTCTGCGTGGTTAAGAACTTTAGGTTCACAAAGTTATTGACAAATGTGCCAACTTTGTGCGTTATGTAGAAAAAACGGCGCGCGACAATATGATCATGCATACGGTTTGAAAACTGTGATTACATTATTAGCATTCTCGACAGATGTGTTAACTGCAACATTCCCGTATGAAGCAACATTCGTTGTGGGATTCTCGGGCTTTCTAAACAATACCATTTCGTTTCTTTTGGTTTCTCATATACCGATACCGCTTCCGGTATTTCTCCGCATTCAACATCCAATTGGCTCTCGCAGCGTTCGACAATCCATTGGTTTGCTGCAATTGGCTCGATTCTCATTAAAATATTTTGAAGGCACACCAATTCGCTGTTCTCGCTTCTCGACAGATCGCCCGGGATGCTCACAGCTGGCAAGTATTGTTGGCTCGATGATGGCTCAACATGATGGCTTCCATCGATATTTGGCACAAATGAGAAGCATTTCGCTCTGAAACGAAACCAATTTTCAAAACATTTCTGAAATTGAGCTCACATTTCCTGAATCGCTGACAAGCTGGCGGCATTGATTTCGGGAGTTGTCTGTAATAATAAAATAATTGAATTAAATATTCCCATATTCTTACAGTTTCATTAACCAGAGTTTTTTCTGGGAGCGACGCGGGTGGCAATCGCGCACTGTTAGCTGCGACAGCTGTCGCCATTGATTGTGGAATATCGACAATATTCTCAATTCCCTCGGTCAAAACAAATTCACAAAATTCGAGCGATAATTTCTAAAAACAAATCGGAAATAAATTTTCAAAAAAAAAGCGAGGGGGTTCCATAACTGATACAATTGGCAAATTGCCTAATGTGGGAAAATATCAATTTGGATTAGTCATAGAAATGTTACCGTGCCGAAAATCTTCTCGAGTTTCGATTCAACCCCAATCGGAGGAAGCTTATTAATATCATTGTCTGCAGCCCAAATCATTGACCTCGAATCACAATCGGCATGGGCGAGACATTGCAAAACCTCCTCGACTAATGGCTTCAGCTCTTCGCAGTCCTTCATAACTTTTACATATACCTCATCGCCATTCTCATTTTTGTCGAGAATCAAAATTGTGTCCACGTCTTCGAGTCTACTTGGTAGTTTTTGTTTCAAATCAACCAAATGGATCCTAAATAAATATATAATGGTTCGATGAATTTCTCGATTACATGTAAATATCGTGGGATTTGTCTTTCGCCGCGTCGCTGTCCATGCATCGGCATTCTCGAAAAACTCTAGCGCTCAAATAGATCCAATAATCGAGGCATGTTTTTAACAGTTTCGCGTCATCGACGAATGTGAATCGGCGGATCATATCAAGGGCCAAAGTGAATCCGCTATGAATTCCTTTGTACAGTTTTTGATTCGACTGAAAATAACAGACTCAAAATTTGCGATCAGAAGAAAAATGTGAATACCTCAAGGCTATTTGACCATTTTGTAAGAAATGTTGTCAGGAAACTGGCAAATTCGCGAACCGTTTCGAGATTTTCTTTGTCCAACTTCGCCAAATCAATCGTGGCGATATAGGTATTCATTTTGTGTACAGTAAAGTAGAAAATGAAGTAAAGTATTATAACATTTTTTTTGATTGGATTGTCTATATTTGGTGTAACAATAGCGTCGATGCACTTCAAAGTGATGACGGTATATTTTTTATGATGAAAATACTGTAATAAAAAGCAGCGATAAGGAATTGCTAGAATTAATAATTTACCTGTTTCATTAAGATTATTGGAAGCTCCGAGTCTAAAACAGTGTTCATTGGAAGTTTATTCACGGTTTCGTTCATTTTCTTGAAGATTAACTTCAAAACTTTTTGGCTTGGGAACAATTTGAGTAGGTTCACATGCGTAGTAAACGTTTCCTTGACACAACCGGGTGTCATTTTATCGACTTCTTCTGAAAAGAAAAACATTTGAAGCACACATTTATTCATAATTTACTCGGCAAACGCATCGGGTGAAACTAGCGGATTTTCTCACGTTTGATGAAACGCGCAGGCTTCAAGGAAAACAACCAATTTGCGCTGTTATTAATGTCACTGTTTCTCCCAAAAATTGGCATTGTTTCACCAAACACGAAATAAACCCTGTTCTCTAATACAACGAGTTTGCCGAGATTAATAAAAAAAAATTGAAATAAATGTCTGCAGAGTTGTTAGGACTACGGTGTTTGCACAATTTTTTGATACAGTAGTAGCACATAAAAATGTTTTAATAAAACATAAAGCAATATAAATATTTGTCTTCATTGGACGATAAAATATAACAAATGTGTTGTTTATATCTTGCCAAAGCCAAGGAAAAAACGGTTTCGTACGATGAGTTTGTCGAGATATTAACACACTTGTCATAAAACATATGCGCGGTGCTGTCAATTGCGCGCTTATATGATGGGCGATAAATAACGCACTGGCATACGAATTGGGTGAAGATTTCAATAAAAAAGAGAAAAATTGGAAAAAAAAATCGGAGAGATGAAAATGGGGGTTGAACGGGTGAAATAAGGCGGCCGCCATACCAAATAAAAATTTGACGAATGCCGCTCGGCGAAAGCATTGGCGGTGGCCAGACCGCCTCTTTGTCGCACACGAGCGCAGCGTTTGTTCGTCTGCGACCTCTACGAAAAGTTTTGTGACGACGGCGCAACTAATTGGCGTAGGAAACTGTGCATCAAGAATAGAAATGAAATAATGCATCTCAATATCACGTTGCAAATTATATTCAAGTTGATTGGAACACATATAGTTTCTAATAAATGAAGAAATGTTCATTGTCGAGGAACCAATGACACCCCAAATTGAGGTTGATGAAATTGAATAATACAAAAATTGAAATGATCAAAAATGGAAAACCCGCCTAGATCAAAAATAAAGATATTCATTTAATTTATTTCAATCACATTTGGATTTTAGCGAATTTTATCGCATATTGACAACGACTGAACACAGGAACTGAGAGAGTGTGCACAAGAAGTTAGTGTTGTAGGAAGTTCGAAAAGCTGGAAATTTTCAATTCAAAAATAAATAATCAATTATTTTTTTTTTAAATATTTTTGCAAACCTTTTGTTATTAATATTTATATTAAAATTATAGTTCCTTTATCGGTTTTCCTAAGATGTGGCGGTTGTCTTTTGTTATGTTATTCGGATAATCTAAAATACCCATTCGATGAACGGCAATTGATAAATGGACAAAAAAAAATGAAAAATGGTTCAAAATAATTTTGCTATTTTCATAATTGCAGTGAAGGCGGGAGGGGGGTTCGTCTAATAAATTCTCTATTCGTAATATTTCGAATTCACTGTGCTTCATCACCTTTGGTATTTTATACGATTCTAGTAATTCCCATAAAATCGTTTTTAATATTTTTCATAGATTACGGTTTTAGGAAAAGGTATACCTGCATTTCCAGAATTAAGAAATCATTTAGGGTAATCTAGAAGTTATAATGGTCTTCACTAATGACAGCCATTTGTTAGCAAACTCATTTTTTTCGTTGGGTGGTAACAGAGCAAAATTGGAAATTTTAAATGATAAATTTATAATAATTCAATGTAAAAAAGTCTTCGACGCTCATACGTTCCAAACGGCTCGTCGAACATAATTTAGGGCTCTGGTCTCGCAGCGATTTTATTGGTTGAGTATCAAATGCCCGCAACTTTGGTGTTGTCATTTCTTATAAGTGCCAATAGACGATAGCGGCTGTAAGCAAACTCCAATCGTTTTTCTTACTCTTCCAACAATTTCTTTCTTATGAGACTTGTTTTTATTCCTCACCGGTATCTCTTGTTAGCATTTTATTCAAATCTGATTTCAAAATGAGCCAAGGTGGGATTTTTCTTTAATTAAGTTTAATAACAAAAATTAATTAATTAATTTTTGTTATTCAAAAGTTTGTTGAAATATTATTTTCTGCAAGTGACGATGCCTCCGAAGATCATCGGCCTTCTAAATGAGTTGAACATATAATTACTTATATGTATAATATATACATATATATTATACGCATAATTCAACCCTTATTAACCTCCATAATATTTTATTCGATTTTGTATACAATAATAATTATCAAAATTCAATATTTGTTAAAAATTATTGCTTCTGATGAAATTGCAGAGTTTCAATATGAATAAGAAGAAAATTGAAATATACAGGAACGGGCAAAACGGGAAACTGATGGTAGTTTGAAAGAGACAAAAAGGAGTCCCGAGTAGGGAACTTCCGTTTAGGGGGTCTTAAAGTCCCAAAATTACAGTAAACAGTAAGATGTGCTATGAAAAATATAGTGCTCGAAAACCTATTATATGGCTCAGAAGATACCTCCCCCATCCCCTAAATGGTCATACTCAAACCGATGAAATCGAATTTTCAAAATGTGTCGAGTTCCCGAAAAAAACCTGACTGCCGATTTTTTTTTGAATGTAAGTATAGTCGGCGTCCGTCGACTGCTGTACGCGGGTAGATTTACGGGAATGCGTCTTTCGAAATGGTCTCGCAAGGACTAACAGGTTATTCCAAATTTTATGGACCGGTTCGATAATTTTTTAATCGAATATTGTTGGAAATGCAAGGAAATGCCAAACTCATCAAGAAAAATGAAGCAGTTCACGTGAAAACAGCAAAATAAGCGTTCACGGGTGGCGAGACCTTTTCAAGGCGCATGCGCGTAAATCTACCAGCCCAGGACAGCAGTCGCCGGACGCCGACTATAATTTATAACTGATTTTGAGAGATATGAGCGAATTTCAAATAATTTTGCCTCAAATTGAAAATCGTGAAGTAATTGAGAAATTTTTATTATTTTGAAGTACTAAATATCAGAATATTGAGCTCGTTTTGCTCAAGAGGCGGAATTGAAAAGCTCAGGAAAATCAATGAAAAATATTTTGAGAATCAAATATTTAATAATAAGCTCTGAAAAATTATGAAAAATTCTAAAGTTTACTGATATTTTCTAAAACTTTTTGAGACTCGACAAACTTAAAAATACCATTTTAAAGTTTTATATTGCAGCACGCGGGTAGATTTACGAGCATGCGCCTTTCGAAGTGGTCTCGCCACGTGTCAACGCTAATTTTTGCAATTTTCACATAAACTGTTAATTTTTCTTGATGATTTTGCCATTTTTTTGAATTTCCAATTATTGTCGATTTAAAAATTATCGAAACGAATTATATGTATAACCAGTTAGTCGGCGCGAGACCAATTGAAAGACGCATCCCCGTAAATCTACACGGGTATGGCAGTCGCCGGACGCCGACTATAATATTTTCTAAAATTTATTGAGCAAATTCGAAATTATCTAAAATCTAATAATAATTTCTATAATTAAAAATCTAAATTATTTTAGAGACGCCTTAGATTCTCAAAGAATCTCAAAATATTTGATTCTGAAAACGAATATTGAATATTGCGATGAAAAATATTGGATTTGGACATTGAAAAAATCTTAATTTCAATTCAAAATCTTTGTTTTTTTTTCACATTTTCATTGTGTTGATCCCATTTTTTCTTGTTTATTTACAATCATCCAAATATTTTTTTCCTCAAAATATTTTGTTTTCCATTCGAAAACCCATTCACAAACTACGCCCATTTCAATCGACCACCTGCCAAAAAAAGGTTCGAGAATTCGACACATTCGTCTTTTTCGTCTTTCTGTGGCCGCCCGAAATTTCCGATCGGATGAACCGTTTACAGGAAACGCGCCGCAATGCAGTTTCCTGAAGCGGTTTGTCTGATCGGAAATATTCGAAATCTGATTCTTACAATCGATACGAAAATTATACTCCGAAAATATGTTTCCGGAAATGATTTTCTGTTTTAATTGTAAAATATGATCAACTGACCCTAAACTTTCGGAAGCAGTTTGTCTGATCGGAAATTCAAGATCTGATTCTCACAATTTTGTCAACGCTTGCTTATTTGGACTTGTTGACAACAAATGTGAAAACCTGATCCGGAATTCAATATTAGGATCATTTGAATGATTACGGAATATTAGAGAGAATGTGGTTGGTGTGGGTGGCACCAAGTGGGTGGAGACCGCACCAAAGGCCAATGCCCACCTAACAAGCAAACATTTGCGAATTGTAAATCATGAATGCCGAAAGCTGGTCATCATGTGTCGAATTGAAAAAGCACCTTCTCCATCATATTCCATAATGGAAAAGCTTCAAATAATTACTCGAAAACCCCGGCTTTTGATATGCAAGTATTTTTGTGGGAAACCATCATCGCAATTCAAATCGTCGTGTGCCTTTGATTTGCCCACAAAAACCGACAACCTAGTGTAATTGAGGAGTCTAAATACCACTAGGCATCGAATACACTTGATTCGAACTTTCGGATTTTTATGGTTCCATCGAATTTTAAGAATTGAAATGCAGGTAATCGAGATTCGAAAAAACTAAAAGCCGAATTTATATCAAGTGTATCTTAATTCGGTTTTTAGTTTTCTCAGATCCCAACCCCCAAGTTGGTAGAAAGAATATTCGAGAATAAGGATGGAATGGATCTGAATCACCCGGCGACAATTAAAATGAATCTCTCGTGTGCCATTTGAATTGACTGGGTGACTCTGATCCGACCGACCATCCGACACGGCGAATACGAGGCGGAATGAGCTTGGCAGCGGGCTCGGCGTGAGCCGACAAAGGCAAAGATTAGAAGCCATGGCGACAGGTTGCACTAATCACCTACGAAATAGTCAAATTAGTGTTGAGATTAATTAGACATCAAAAAGCGAAAGGATGGAAGGGGTTATCTTTTTTAAAAATGACTTTTTTACGAGTTGAATGAACTATTCAGTTTCGAAATGATCCAGAAGACATCAATTGGATTGAATGGCTTGTCATACAATAGTCGTGTGCTATGTATTGACATGGCAATTCAATCTGATCGATTCTTCCGGAAGAGTAATTATCAGGTTGTATCAGAATAAAATAATCCATTGGAGAATAGTGTCTTTGAATTTGAAATAGATTACGGTGGTAGGCGGAGTTTCCCAGGAAAGAAGAAAAAATTTGAAAAGGATTGAAATTGAAAAGAAAATTGAAAACAATTGCGCAAGTGGCGGACAAAAGAATCTCGCAGTCGTAATCTTTTATTATTGAATTTTTGAAAAAGGATTTTATTCAAACTGGGAAAATAATAAATTTGTAAATTTTAGGGATCCGCTTATAAAAATAATAAATAGCCTTCAATGCGCCTTTAAATTCAAATTTCGGATTTTGATGGTCCTTTCACATAATAGGGCAAAGTCCAGTCTGGGAGGACAATGCGCAACAAAACGGCTTTAAAAAAGCATATGGAAATTTTGAAAAGAACAGGTTGGCGAAAGCTGTTCGACACCTGCTCTTTTGAAAATTCAAATTCGATATCAGTCTGTTTCTAATAATGGGAAACTTCGGAAAATAATTTTTCGATCTTATAGGGATCAATGTGATCACTGCGACATTTGATAGACGGATTATAAACGGTTCCCATTGGGAAATGATAATTGGTTTTGTTAATTGGAATTCGACAATTTTTTCATTAGCTGAGTTGCTGAGATCACTATTTTCAGTATGATGTTTGCAGAATTTTATGACGAAGCTCAAACCAAACGTTATAAGGTGCGCTGTCTAATTAATCTCAACACTAATTTGACTATTTCGTAGGTGATTAGTGCAACCTGTCGCCATGGCTTCTAATCTTTGCCTTTGTCGGCTCACGCCGAGCCCGCTGCCAAGCTCATTCCGCCTCGTATTCGCCGTGTCGGATGGTCGGTCGGATCAGAGTCACCCAGTCAATTCAAATGGCACACGAGAGATTCATTTTAATTGTCGCCGGGTGATTCAGATCCATTCCATCCTTATTCTCGAATATTCTTTCTACCAACTTGGGGGTTGGGATCTGAGGAAACTAAAAATCGAATTGAGATACACTTGATATTAATTCGGCTTTTGGTTTTTTCGAATCCCGATTACCTGCAATTTAATTCTTAAAATTTGAATCAAATGTATTCGATGCCTAGTGATATTTAGACTCCTCAATTACACTAGGTTTTCACCTTTTGAGGGCATATTAAAGGCACACGACAATTTGAATTGCGATGATGGTTTCCCACAAAAATACTTGCATATCAAAAGCCGGGGTTTTTGAGTGATTATTTGAAGCTTTTCCATCATGGAATATGATGGAGAAGGTGCTTTTTCAATTTGAGACATGTTGAACAGCTTTTGGCATTCATGATTTACAATTCGCAAATGTTTGCTTGTTACGTAGGTGGGCATTCGCCTTTGGTGCAGTCTCCACCCACTTGGTGCCACCCACACCAACCACATTCTCTCTAATATTCCGTAATCATTCAAATGATCCTAATATTGATTCTACGGAATTCCGGATCAGGTTGTCACATTTGTTGTCAACGAGTCCAAATAAGCAAGCGTTGACAAAATTGTGAGAATCAGAACTTGAATTTCCGATCAGGCAATCCGCTTCAGAAAATTTAGGATCAGTTGATCGTATTTTACAATTCAAACAGGAACTCATTTCCGGAAACATATTTTCGGAGTATAATTTTCGCATCGGTTTTATCCTGACCAATAGGCGGAGCTTAAGTATTCTTTCTATCCCACATAGAGACTGCAATTTTTGAGACAAGTCCGAACTAATTATATGTATAGCCAAATATGTCAAAGTCGGTTTTTTTTTTTGAAAGCCAATTGGCAAATTTTATTGAATTTATTACGAAGAAACTGACAAAATGGGCATTTTTCACAAAAAATTATTTTTTTAGGGAAGAAAAAAAATATTTAAATTAATTGCTCTTACTCTTCTCTAAACTATCATACTCGTTATCCCAATACCAAAATACTTCCCATTCTTTCTTTCCTCAAAAACCGCCTATTGCTAATTAGGGCGACTCGGACCTTTGGGGGGTGGGATAATCCGTTTCATATCTACCGTAATCCCTTTCAATTTCCCGGCCACCAGATCAAAAATCAAAAATTTTCTTTCAGGACGGCACGTTTCAATGCCGATTAATTAGCCTTTTGTTATTTTCGAACTGAGTAATTTCTGCTCATGTTCATTATCTCAACACTAACGAAAAGCTGGATGTAAAGCTTCGAGAAGAGTAAAAATATGGAAGGGCTGAGGAAACTTCGGGAAAAGCTTGTAGAGAGTAGTGCAGAAGAAGATAAGAAATGATAATTTCCTTCATAACTTTTAAACGAGTGGTCCAATACAAGGAGCCCTTATTTTTCAAGGATTGAAATGTTTAAAAGCAAGTTCATATTATGGAAATTAAATTTTTCAAGAGAACGAAATTTCAAAGAATTGGAAGAATGGCTATAGAATCGAAATTCGATTGGCAAACTATTCAGTATCTTAAGAGATATCTAAATAAGGGTCCCTTTATAGAATGCTTTCATCACACTGAGTTTTGAGAAGATTTCAGATTTGGTTCAAGTGCTGGTCCGGAAACGTTGGACCAAATTTCCCAAGATATAGGAATTCCCAGATTCTATTGTGGCACCAGTTCCTAAATTCTTTACAACCTCTGCTCTCGCCAAGGGTCTCGCAGCGATGTGCCTTTGAGCTCAACCGCTGTAGCTTCAAGCCCTGAAAGGAATGAGGAGGATGTTGAAAATATTTTTTGTTGGTTTTGATGAAACATAGGGCGGCGACTTATTGAGATTGCGTACCTGTTAGCTCAGCTTGTGCTCTGGAGAATGGCTTACTTTCATGAGACCAGGTGAGCTCGACAGTTTTAAGACTGGTTTTGATGGTGGTAATTTTTTGCAATTTTTTTTTTGGTAACAAGAATAAAAGCTGTCAAAGCTATTTTATTTTTTCAAGTTTATTTCGCAATTTCAATATATCTACTTTCCACGCCCCAACGCGTTTAATATCTCGAAGGACCATCCATCAATGCTTCGAGGGATCTAAATTGTGAAAATCATCACCATCTCAAAATTTTCGAAAAATCGTACCTTGACAAGAATGGCACTAAATCGGCACTCTTTTGGAATGCACCTCTCCATGAAAATATCGCAATAGTCCATTTTGTAGTCGAATTGGATGCGATCGTTGCCGATGAATCGGGGATTGGTGAGCAATGAGAGCTGAATATTTGAATTTACAAGAAAAGAAAAGAGAGCTCTCACGTAGAATCGATTGCGAAATGTGGCACTTGTCGAGAAGAGCATCAAAAACTCGTTCATCGAGCCTAAATTTCAAAAAAATTTTTGGAATCTGGAAATGCTGAAAATCGAGAGACTGTCCGGCGGGAATGCGTTTCGCGGATTGCACACGAACAGCCTACGGAATTCGGCAATCATGCTCGCCATCAAATATCCGTGGAAACGCGCCAACATCATCTCCGCTGTCGTTCTGGCATTCGGCTCGCCGGAACAAATCGTCTGAATCAATATTGAAATGAATTGCGATTGTCGAAAACGAACGAATGAGACGACGACGACGACGACGGCGATGACGCCCAAATGCATTGTTTGCTTTTTTTTCATTTGCGACACATTTTTATACAGTGTGCATGTCGTCATAATCGAATCACCAATAATTTGATTATAATTGAATTAGAGGACCAAAGGTGTCTCGCCGTGATTACTGTAGAACGAGGAATGTCAGTGGGAAATAAATATTCTAGCTTAAGCGTACCTAATATGCACTTAGTTACTTACTTAAGCTTTGGAAGCTTTTAGATCCTTGGCTTGGGTGGACCACGAAGTGATTACGGCTGTCCATCCATCTGTTCTTCTAGCACCATATCCAGCCCAGGTCATCTTCCTCTTCGTGATGTGATGTGGGGAGTCTCGAACTTTAGACAGCGTGACTACATAATTCGGACCCTTTCAGAAAGAGCTTTGGTGAAGGTCCGAGTCTCTGCTCCATACGTCGACGGAATTGAAGAGTTGGATTTGTTACAAGAAATCAAATCGGTGGCGTTCTTGATTCCATTGAACGCTGCCCAAGCTGCTCTTCTCCTTCGGAAGACCTCCTTGATGACTAGCTCGTTTTTGGGGGTGAGTAGTCTTCCAAGGTAGGGGGTTTTCCTTGGCGGAATCTGCGAAGGAGTTACGTAGGACTAGGTAATTACGCTTAAGCTCGAACGAGGAATGACACTGATCAGTGGAGAACACACAAAAAATTATTCTAGGTTAAGCGTACCAATATGGTAATTATTATTTTCCTCTGAAAACGGCTTACTCTTACTTAGTAGTAAATCATTCAGATTCATCAAAATTTGCCTCGTTTTTATTATGATTTAATTCTAATCGATTTTTTCCTCAAAAATCTCTGTTTGAATAAAAATGGTCGCTGCTAATCGATGAAAAAAAAAATTGATGATTCGATTATGACCAAAAAAGCTACGGTATAAAAATGATGTGGAGAATCTCGAAGCGAAAACGAAATGAGGCATCTTCAATTTCTCATTTTTCTCGTGATCGTCACTATCGTAAGTCATTCATTCGAATTTTTTAATTCCAGAGCTTTTCAGGCGTCTTCTGGAACGATTCTAGCCGCCACCAGTGATCCATTGAGGTATGCAAAAAAAAAATATGAAACACATCATCAAGATTCAATTTGAGAGTTGCGAATGATTTAATTTACTATATGTCAACTTACATCACGTCTAACAATCAATGGAATTTCCGAAGTTTGTTCCTCTTCAATCCGTCGATCGCCTTCCCGCCAGACAGTTTGAATTCCCTCCGATTCTCATGACATTTCATTATTCTAGTGCCGCTTCACAGATTCTTCCATTTGGCTTCCGCCAACGATAGATTCCGCTCCAATTTCCATGTCGGCCTTCATGCGCCTTTAATCCAAACTTGTCATTATTGCAGATCGAGCTCTCTTCAGTGCCCCGACGAGGGTTGAGCCCAAATCGCGTCGAGTTCAAATTCACAATTCATTATTGCATTTTGCAAGTGCAAGGATGTGCTCGACGAATGTATACACTGTCGGCGAGAGTCAAAAGGGTCCGATTCTCAATCCCAGATTGTTCTAAATTTTGAAATCAGGTCAATCATAACGTGGTTGGATGGGCTTTCGAATCATTGACTCCGATCCCGGCAGGAAAGTAATTATGGAGGCTTGCAAATAAATTAATTATTTGTGGACAGTTGATTGATTCGTTTTGAGACCCAAACCAGGTTTTCGGCGAAATTCGCAGCGGAACGCTTCCAAAATTTGAAATTAATTGAATGACCGCAACGCGACCGCAACGCAAAGCAGACTCAATTAATTCGCGATCGTCTAAAAGAGGAATAATGGTCCGAAATTTGAGCGCCCGGGTTGAATGATTTGCAAATAATTTGCAAAATCAAAATTCTTCAAATATTCGAACACGTGAACTAGACGTATCTTGATGGCATACATAAAAATTGAGCCATTCATAGCAGCAATTCCAGTTCGAAATTTGATATTTCAAAAGAAGCAACCATTCCCATCGTGTAGGTTTCGTTTCCACCCGCCTCCCACCTAATCAGCTTCTCCTCACACAGATGCAAGCTATATTGAACATAGCTCTAGCCGTTATGGCACTGATTATTGCATTGTCATCGGTGAACGCCGATGAAAAAGGTTTCAACGATCTCGACATCGATGATCGCAATTCGAATTTTCAGTTTGCGCGTTGGATAAGGGAAACATTAAAAGTTGCGTTAATGAATTATGCAGCGACGATCAAGTGTGCTATCGTGGAATTGAGGGAGAACGATATTGTTGCGGTATGTCCCTGATAAAATGGGATAAGAAATTTTAAAAAAGAAAATTCAAATCTAACTTGTCGTTGAGAAAATCAACAGCATGTGAATTGTCGTCAAATAGAATGCACAAGTCCGCAATGCCACTTTCAGCTTCAATTCAAATTTAATGGAAAACGCAATTGAAGTAAGAATTTCCATAAATTAGCATGTCGCGTGTTTACACCTAATGCATTTTACTTGACGACTTTATTTAATCGTGTAATTTTCACGAGATTGAGCCTTTTGAATGCCTAATTTTTGGGTTTTCGAGGTCTCATAGATGAATGCGAAAAATTGAAATCATTGCGGACTTGTGCATTTTATTTGACGACAATATACACATTGTTTAGTAGAATTTTTGTATTTTTTTCGATTTCTTATCTAGTTTCCTTGATATTTTTTAGTTTTAAAGATTACCCCTTTAATTTCAATTTCAGGCGACTTGCATACGTATTGCCCCACGAAAATGTGGACATTCCATTCTCCAAGTTCTGGGTCTTTCATTTTCTCGCCCACAATGGGCGATCAGTGCCCTGATGGATACTACAAGAAAGACGATGCAAGCATTTGTTGTCGTACGTTTTCACTTAATTTCAACTCGGTTACTGTCAACGGGTTGTGCATTAACGCGTGGCGATGAACACAGACTTAAAAGAATCTCCCAAAAATTTGCAGAGAAAAATGAAAAAAATGTTTTTCTTCTTTGCTTCTCTGAAATCAATTTAAAATTATTTTTTTCGTGCCCTGATCATTTAAATATTCGGCAGTCGATGGAACAACGCACGTGTGGCCTAGGAAAAAAATGTCCTCAAAATATTTTTGTCGGCCACGGCCACACTTCATATTATTTTAAAAATTTCGTCGGTGATAGTGTGTTTCACTTTCAGTTTTTCTCCGAATTTGTGTGCCGCACTTGCATTCATGCGTTTTGAATGTGTCAACCAATTTTTCTTGATATTAATTGCAAACATTTTCAGCTTTCCCCTACTCGTTCCAGCTAAAGAATTATTTGCCGACCCTTCCATCATGTAAGCATGCCGTTTTTTTTAAATAAAAAACGATCAAAATCTTTTAATACAGCGTGGCCCAACTTCAAATCCTGCAAGAAGAATGCCGAATGTGCGGCCGATGAATATTGCGACGACGCCGATAATCCGTCGTTCAAATTGGCCAAATTTTCGTTTGCCATTGGCTCGCTTGACAGAAGTGACAACAAGAAATCGAGGCGATTTTGCTACAAAGGTAATCATTGCATTTTTGTTTCTTCTTTTTTCCAAAAAAAAAATGTGGTGAACTGCACAAAACTACTATTTGCACTCCACTTTATCTCTGAAATTCTCGGTTTTTGGAAAAAAAAAACGACAAAGAAAAATTTTCAGTTCCCATCGCCGAAGGCGGAGCGATCAACATTCAACGCAGTAAAGATTACGGACTCCAATTGTGCGAGTTCGATGCGGATTGCGGCGATAAGAAGACGTTCTGCTATAAGCCGGGAACCACATTTCCAACGCACAACGATAAGGAGCTGATTAAAAAGTATGGAATGTGCGCGACGGCGCCGAAAATGTGCGAAGCGCTAAAAAAAGATGATCCGACAAAAATGTTCGACCCATCTGGACAGTTGACATCGACAAACGCGCAATGTCGAAACGACCAGGATTGCGAGAGTGGAGGAGTCTACAACGGAACGAAAGGCGCCGACACAAAGTGGGATTTGTTGAAACCAAGTTTTCTGCGTTGAAATGCTTATTTTGCAGTCCATTCTGCACGAATCTTCATTCGGGTGGCGCGCCGCCCTCCAGCGGCCCTAATGGGACAGCAGTGGTTCCGGTGAAATTGTGCTGCTTTCGTGAGATGATCCGCTCCCATTCCCGTTGATTCGATGCTTTTACATTTTAGAGCTTGTCGCTAACAAGTGCTCGTATGGATCGGCACAGACGCCGTTAAAAACATGCGAGACGTTTGACGATTGCAACAAGGGCGTCGGGTGGGATAAGCAAAGGACGGGATGGTGTGACGCCAAGTCGAAAGTGTGCTGTGTAGCCAAAATTGAGCCGGATATTTGGAGTTGTCCCGACAAGCAGACGCCGAAGTTCAATGAGCCGGCTTGTGTTGGCTCGAACAAAAAGGATCCGGATTCGGGAATTTGCGATGCGAAGAAGACGGGCATCTGCAAGCACGGTCAATGCTGTCCGCCGCTGCGAATCGTCACCAAACCCGATCAGAATATCGATGTGACGTTTGGCGATAAACCATATGCAACTGAGCTCAAGTGCGATCCGGCGAAAGCGCCGCCGTCATACTCGAACTACATGTTTTGCGATCCGCTAACGAAAAAATTGTCGATTGTCGGAAAGAAGCAGATTGGCTCCGATTCGGAGACGGTCATTCTCGACAAGAAGTGCGCAACGAATGCGTAAGCAATTTTTGTTTTTGTAAATTTCGAGACGTCAAATTTCTGGTTTCCAGCGATTGTAAACACAAAAAGCAGGTTTGTGTGCACATCACCTCCGGCTCGAAATGCTACTTCAACCCGTTCCAAGACGCCCAGGTGTACGTTGATTCTCTATGGAAAGGAGTGCTGATTGGCTCGATCATCTGCTCGATCATCTTCATTTTCCTCTCAGTTCTGTTCTACATGTGCTATAGATCACGTACGGTTTGCGATAAATATGTGGCGAAGAAGAAGAAGAAAGGATCAACGGCGAAGGGATCGTCGAAATCGAAATCATCGCAGAAGACGAACGAATAAACTCCTAAATGTTGCTTCTTAGTTATTGTCACATTCGAAATAAAATGTACGAGTGGCGATTATTCTAATAAAATGATAAATACTAATGTTACTATGTCGGCTTTGTAGAAACACTCGACAACCTTTGTTTATAGAAAAACCCATAAATCTCAAATTTTGCAAAAAGGACGAAATAGAACAAATTGGTTGTTTTTTTTTTCCCGAAACGGCAAAACAATGTTTAGTCAAAACCGAGAAAGATCTCGCGCGATGAGTCTGCCTAATTTATTTTTAACTTACAAAAAAAATTGATTATTGTCGTCGAATGGTGCCGATTGTGTACACACGTTATAGAAATATTGCAGAAAATATTGCAAACTTTCAATTTTAATTCGAAAAATTCAAACAGAACAGATTCGAATAATAACCAATGTTATCCGACAAATTACCAATGAGATTCGAAATATACCCAAAAAAAACTAATCGGATCCGACAATTTTACAATATTATCCGTAGAATTTCCAATCAGATCGGGTTGATTCAGGAGTCGAATTTTGTCGGATCCGATTGGTTTTGAGTTACCAGAGAATGGTGTAGTAGGAAAGGCGAAAAACCACGGAATTCGATGAAACGGCACTGAAAAGAATCGTCTTCGTCTCTCAAAATCCCACACTCAATTACCGAACCAAGTTATTGACCGTTTCTACAGAGCATCTGTTGAGCTAGGCGATTCGTCGATTTTTCAATGTCGTGCAACAGTGGAAAATAAGATAAATACCAAAAAATTTAGGAATATTCAGCAATTTGAAAAGAATCAACCGCAACTTTTTTTTTACATTTTCAGTACGACACTCCAATTACACATCGCCCTCAATTTAGCGCGTCTGATAAACTGAGCGATTTTTCTTTTATGTGATTTAATTTTTTTCACATTTTGTCCCAATATGATTTCTCGCGTTTAAAAAATGTCTTAAAAGGTCTTGTGCGCCTTTAACCCAATTCTTTGTCAAATTTACACTGTTTTTGTGCGCTTCCAGACCGTTGCACGTTTTTTTGGCATTTAGCCAATTTTCTGTTGTAGCGCCCCACCGGAAATATTATTGAACAATACATTATCACTTTTTCAGAATGAAGCCGAAACCAGAAATGGGAATTGATGAGAAAAATGCGAAAATGCGCAGTGGTTTCAACTTATGCGTCAGTATTCTCAAAGAAATTCCTAATATATCAATGATTGAATCGACTTTGTCAACGATAAATCGATATCTTCAATCGATTCCAGCTATTTTAGTATTTGAAAATCGATTGCCGATAATATTACCAAAAGTAATTAAATCAGTTTTTTTTTTCAATTAATTATTTCCTATAATTTCAGTTTCTTAAAATTGATGAATATCGCCTAATTACAATGCAATGCTTGGTGAAAATTATGAAAATGGATCTCCAGCAATTTATAGAGGATAATAAGCTGCAATTAAGCAACATGATTTTCGATGTATTGCAAAAAATCACTGAAATTGTTGGAGACGAAGTGGACTGCGCGGCATTGAACTCGATCGAAGTCTGCGAGCTTCTTGTCGACTTTCTCGTCGTTGTTCTCAAAAAATTTCCGACAACAATTGAGGTTTGAGTGTTTTATGATTCAAACATATTGAAATTTTTTTTCGGTTTTCAGGTTAGCAACCCTATAACCGCGATGCAAAAACAAACCTCAAAATATCACACAATTGCTATGAATTTGTTGCTGAAATTCACGTCGACTGAAAATGAGAGATGCTTGCGAGCGTGCCTCAAGTTTTGGAAACATTTGTCCACGCTGCTCTATCGAGATTGCTCGTGCTCATCGAATATGGTGTTTGTTCAGAACAACCCGCGTAGAGAGATTTACAGGTAAATTGAATTGAATCGTTGAGCGAAATTTGTCATGTCTTCTCAATTTTTGTGCAAATTCAAAAAAAAATTTGAAATTTTCATTGAAATCAATTGTGTTCTATATTCTGTCATTTTAAGACAGCACTTGAACAATGTGAAACAGACGTTGATGAAAATGGATATACTGGAAGCGAAAAATGTCAGAAGAAAGCGACAAATTCTCGATTGTTTGCAACATTTGAATTGTAAATCATCAATTTCGCTGGAAAAGTTAGATGAAATTGGTTAAATTAGTATTAATCTTCTATTTTCTACAGAATTGATGTACAGAACACTCCGTGCAAGACGAGTTTGATAATGCCAGTGACCAACAATAATGTGGAAGGGTTTGGGACAATATTTGTTCGAATTATTGATCGAATTTAGTTCGTCAAACCTGCTTAAAAGGACAACGAGCTCTTCAGAAGAGCGAGATGTTCCGGAGAAAGTTTTCAAATCATCATCTCCAGATACTGTAAGTTTTGTAAAATTGGGATGAACGAAATCTTATAAGGTTTAAGTTTAAACGACCAATTCAATTTCGAAGAAATACATTTCGAATAACGAAAAAGGTTGAACGTCAATTTTCACAATTTTTGCAAAATATCAATTTTCTACAAAACGCTGGCGTTTTCCTTTTTTTAACGCAGCCATTCGTTTTTATTCGCAAACGTGATTTAATTTTACAATTAATAATTAAGTTTTAGGATGTGACTTCACAGATTTTAATTGGCTGGAAAATTCATAGCGTGAAAATTGGTGTTTTCCCCAAATTTCTAACCGATTCAGTTTCTTTCTGTAAAAAATCTTTAGATTTTCGCATCTGTTCATTGAGAATATCGACGATTTTAAAAAAATTAACACTGCATAAAAAACGAGCCCAATGATATCGTATTTTTTCTTTTCGAGGTGGCCATTCAAATTTCGCTTTGAGCTATAAAACTATATTATAGGCGAAAACTCACGTCCACAATCACTTCTGTTTTGGTGCCAATTCAAACGCATTTTCCATTTTTCCTTAAAAAAGTATGCAATAAATTTTCTTTGAAAACTGCGATTTTTATTCGGTATTGGATTGATATTGCCGGTGTCGCGCAATTACAGGCTAAATGCCAAAAAATCAATGTTAGAGGTCTTGGTGCAAAATTAAATGTGGAAATTTACTTGTCAATGCATAAGGAGGATAGGTTAAAGGCGCACACCTGCACACCGAGACCTCTTTTTAAATTTTTTGTCATTTAGCCAATTTTCGCGCGACGTCGATAATATTTATTATTATTATTTTATTCGCATTTATTTTTTTACAGAACACTCCAACTTCTGATGAGACGGAAATGGCACAGCTTGCAGCGGCTAGTTTGAACCCTAATATAAAAAATGAGGTTCGATGAAGTTCTGTAATTAAAATTAATAATTTCCGTTTTTTTCCAGAAGAATTCCAAATTTGCACGATATAGTATTGAAGAACAAAGAGAAATGGTCCGCTATGTGTACAAGTAACGAGAATTCTTTGAAAATTACCGAATTTCATTTTTTTCCAGAAACAAATTCATTTTTGATGGAAATTTGTCTCACATGAATCCTTACTGTCCAACGAACAACGTGTTCTGGAAATCGTATGTGGACCTTGGATTGTCGACGAGAAGTCCTATCGGATTGGCTGCCCAGTAAGAGGAGCTCGTCGTCTGAAATTCCAATTTTTGTCTTTTTAGATATCGCCAAATTTTGGCAAAACTTGACACGCTGGGACTCCCTCAAAATGTTGTCGAATCGATTTATGCGATTCGCTAATGCGTTTCTGTAAATATTATATAATTAATGAATTGCCTAATTAACCTGTAAATACTTTTTTGCTCCCTCAACTCATCATCGCCGAATCCTTAATTATTTAATTGGATTATTAATTGCATGTCGCTCGGAATAAATTATATTCTAGGTGAAATGCGTTATTTGAAAATCATTCATAGCTGAATTTTAGAATAAAAATTGACCCCCTCTCATTTTGGCTCTAAAGTTTTTGGAATAGAAAACCCCGCAAAAAATGAATTGAATTAAAATGTCGCATCGATTACATTTTCTTTGCAAGCAAAAATGATAATGTTATGGTTTTTGGCGTGCCCATCGATTTTCAATCGAAACGGCGTCACCTCGGGGCGGGCAAATCGTTGCCTTTATTAAATTCTTTGATGGTAATGGCACCCTATATAAAACCCCGTATCCATCAATATAGGCCCTTTTCCTTCCTTCATGACTCGCGTATGTCGGCTCCGTTTTTATCAACTCTCACATCCACCGCTTAATTGTTTATAATTTCCTTACTTAATTGAAAAAATAAAAAAGTTTTTATTCGAAGCGTTGTTAACTCCTAACGCATATGCAAGTGAGTAAATAAAGAGAGCGCCGCCCTACCAATATTCGGTAGGACGGCAGCATAACCCCTATACTATATTTCCTACATATTTGTGAATATTTAAATTTTAGTCGTCAACCTTATGGTACTAAAACCTTACATTAGACATAACTTTACTCGCAAACAATCGTATGCAAAAGACGATTTATTTATTTATTTATTTATTACTCTATTTATACGTGCGAGCATTATCAAAATATGTTAACTATGCTAGTTTTCAAAACCCTATTACATAGATTTTAGTTTTTTACTACAATTCCCGAGAAAACTCTCTCAAGACTGTCGGTTCCCGGTAGGACGGCAGCATAACCCTTTCACTATTTTAAACAACTAAATTTTATTGTTGAGAAATGATAAATGTATCCAGGTGTCGTAGGATCCTGCGTTTTGTACGCAATGCTAAGAGACAGTTACCGTAATCCTCGCAGCGATTTAAGGGGACTTTTTTTTAAATTTCGCATATTAATTTATTTTATTTTTCGTTCAATTTTTTTAAATTTTCTTGCGAAATTTTTTAATTTAAATTTTTATATTTTGCAGAAACTGAGTTTAAGAATGTATTTAGCAGAATAATCACTTTTAAACGATATTTTTTTGGTAAAACAGCAAAGATTAAAAAGAAATCATTTTTGTCGTTAATAAAATTATTTAATTGTGTTTTGCTTTTTGTATGCGTTTCTATTATCTTGTTTTTCTATTCTTCATTTTCAAAATAATTTTTAGAGCGTCAAAATCTTCACAATAATTCCCAACTCAACTGGACAAATGGAAAGTGCATATTATGAAAACTAAATAATTAAAATCGGTTTCGACAGGTTTGAAATAAAAGATTTCAAAAGAAAATAAGAAAATTCAGCAAAAAAAATTGAAAGAAAATTTAAACAAAAACTCCGTAAATCGCTGCGAGGATTACGGTAACTGGCTCATCGCATTGCGTACAAAACGCAGGATCCCACGACACCTGGGATACATTTGTCATTTCTCAACAATAGCTCGTGCAACTGAATGCACAATATAAGAAAAAATATGGAGAAGATCTTGCCGATGTTCTGGTCAGACATAAGGATGAATTCAAAAAATTTCTTAGTATTAAGGTTAATTTTTGAATAAATGTTGATAACTATTGTATTGATAATATAAATATTGATCGAAATCATCTATCTAATCGAGTCCAAATTTACAATTCCAACTTCTCTTGATATTATCTTGTCCGGTAAGGTATCTCGCATAAAAATGCTTCGAATTTTCAGTTGTTTTACATCTTTTAGATCGATGTTGGCTAGCGCAGGCAGATCTTTCTCTTGCTTCATCATTTATTGAGCATTATTTGGCCAATAATTATTAACTAAATATAATTATTAACTAAATAAATACTTTTTAACTAAATTCATATTTTTCAACTAAATAAAATATTTTTTAACTAAATATGATTTTTAACTAAATAAATCCAATTTTCAATTAAATAAAATATTTTTTAGCTAAGTAAACCTACAGTAAAAAGATACGAAATAATTAATTTTCTTCATAAATTTTGAACGAAATGGTTCAATCAAGCTGAAATTTTTAGCACTTATTTTCATTGAATTAAATGTTCAAAAAGTTCATATTATGGAAATTAATTTTTTCCAAGTAAATTTCGCAAAAAAACGAAATTGCAAAAAGTAAAAATGGGTGTATAAATTCAAATTGCTGTAGAAATAAAATTAGATCATCAAACACCAAATAACTTCTTTTTACAACTATTAATAAACCTAATACTTAGTCGCTACACCATTTACGATCAGCTTTAGATAATTTTTTAGACCCTTTTGGTTGACCCATCCTTAAAAGTAATGAATATATCACAAAGAATCGAAAACTGAAAAATATACTTTAAAAAATAGGATAACCAAAATTAATCTTGCAGATTTCAAAAAAAAAGTTTTCTAGCGCGTATTTTTTCGAACTAGTGTAACTCACTTTGCAGTTTGTTTTTAATTGTGTTGTTGACTTCCTGTAGAAATTTCATTTTGATTGGACCACTCGTTCAAAAATCATGACGGAAAATAATTATTTCGTATCTTTTTCTGCGCTATTGTAGCGGAGTATAACCGCGTGTGCATAGTAGTCTATCCATCTATATAATAGCACAATATGATGTGCAGACTTACGAGCTATCGATTTTTCAAAGTCGATTTAGGTGAGCAATTGACATCAAAAATTTACCAAGGTTTTATACAGTGCGTTGCAGAATTATAAGGCCACCATCAAATTTGAGCGCCGCGCAATGATTTCGATATTTTGAGACCAACCAGTGTGAAAATCGTGTTCAGCATGAAAAATAACCTATATGTACCTATTTTTATGTTAGTATCTTTTAAAGTAACCACGCAGTGGTTTAAAACCGTATTTCGAGAGGTGCAGAATTATAAAGCGACCCCCATGAAACAGATTATAAACTCAAAAATAACGACAGTTTAATGTTTAGTGGCACCTCCATTCGAGGTAATAACATCGAAAACACAGACTGGCATAGATTTGAGAAGATTTTAAACATATTGGGTCGATTTAGATTTGAATTTCTGCTCTAACGTCTTCCATCAAAATGATTCAAAAAGTGAAAAATAAGGACCACTATAGGTTCTCAAAGCCACACAACGATTTTTATGCACATTGGTCCCGTGACAGTTAAAAAAAAGCGAAAAAGTCCGTTTTATAGGGGTGGCTTTATAATTCTGCACCGCTCGAAAAACGCTTTTGGACCACAGCGCGGTTACTTTTGAAGATACTAATATAAAATTGGTAGAATTAGGTTATTTTTCATGCTGAACACGATTTTCACACTGGTTGGTCTCAAAATATCGAAATCATTGCGCGGCGCTCAAATTTGATGGTGGCCTTATAATTCTGCAACGCAACAACTGTATTACCAGTATCCTAAAAATACTCTAATTTATTCAATCCTGACCTTTAATTTAATATAAAAACACCTAAAACTTATAACATGATATTCTATCATTCAATTTTGATACAATTGGCCCGATACAATGCGTACATTGCATTATACAGTGCGTTTCACATTTATAAATAGTTAAAATAGTTAATTAAATAGTTAAATAAAAAAGCATTTTCTGAGTTGTTTGAATATCGATTTAGGGGTAAGCTCATAAGTAATTGTATAGAAATTGTGATAATAATAAGTCTTTATAAAATGAATTAAATTGAGCGAAAAGAAAAGAAATGAAAAATAAGAATTCGTGCGAAATCTTGCTGTTGTGACATCTCCGGAGTGAAATTAATATAGAAATGTGTGAAAAATTGTTGCTGTAATTGATAAGCTGACTTTTAGGAAAGCAGTCAAGAATTTCGCGATTTTTTTTCGAAGAAATGAAATTTATCATCGTGGGCCCAAATTTCATGAGCAAAGTTTCTAAAGAATGTCTGAAATACTGGAATGAAGCGTTTCTTTTCGATTTCTGCGCCATGGAAAATAATTGAATGCAAAAAAATCCAGCTATTTTTTTTCAGATGAACCAGCTCAGCGCTGAAATAAAATTTTGCATTTTTTCCAAACCAAATCACATCTTTAAGGCTCTCTCTTTTATTAATTTCTTTATTAGCCTATTGTGATGTCTTTGATATTACTAGCTTGCCACGCAATATTGTTAGGGGATCATCCTATTTTATCAATTCTATATCATAATATGCTATGACTATTTGTTTGTTGAGATGCAAAATCTGGAATTCTGCGATCGACAAGGCAACTAAATAAGTACATGTGAATAAAACAAAAAATTCCCTATTATTTTATACTCGGAAGACTAAATGAACAACCCCTGACAAGTATATGAATTTCAGCATTTCAAAATGTGTTTATTAAAGTATTTTGAAGGATTCCGAAGCACCTTTATAAAGAGACAACATAAATTAAAATCATCAAGCTTTATTAAATAATACACTGGGGGAATAATGAATGAACAGAGAGAAAACCGGAAAAAATTAATTTCGAGATGATCATGAATTCACTTGTATTCGTTTTTGAGGAGTCTGAGAAAATCGTGAACATGATATTCCACCATAATCGTTTCAATTCGAGTCAGCATTTTGGCAAATCTAGAAAAATGAAAAATATCGTGTCAGGACCAACAATAACAACAAAACAAAATTGCTCACTGCATACTCAATGCGGCCGGTGTGCGTGGTTTGAAGTGCTTCTTGACGAACTCTTTCCAAACGCCGGCGCCTTTGAAGCGTCTCAAATTGGTCTTATCCGATTCAAGGTACAAGCTGAAATTTTTGTCGTTTAGCGGTTTAGAATTGAACGCCCTTACGTGTAGATGTACATCGCCATCAACGCTTCCTCGACATCAGTGTAACTATTCCGCTTTCGAGCGACCCCCCTCTACAAAATATTGAATATTAACACCCAAAATGAGAATCGTACGTTATTGGAATTTCTTGGATCTTCTCTATACAAAATGTGGACGAATTGCGATTCTTGCGAATCAACGGCAGCCGACGAATCGCCTCGCAATTGGCCTGGCGATGAGGCGACCGTGCTCAACGATGATTCGATGCGCGTGGAAGGGGATGTCGTATTCGATGGGAGTCGATTGGTGTGCGCGGCTTGTGAGGCTCTCGTCGACATGAGATCTGCAAGTCGGCGATCACCTCCTGGAATCGGCGAATCAAATCGATCACGGAATGCCGGGGAAGGATTTGGGTAGAATGGAAACCATTGCTGCTGGTAGCCGAACTGATTGGCAAAGAGCTGAAACCTCGATGGCTCAAAGCATTTATTAGAAGCGGAACCTGGAAATTGTTTTGCATTGGGCTTAGATATGTAGTCGTCCAAGGGTTGAAAGGATTCTGCGGTCTGAAAAAAATCGCATTCAGAATTTTCTAATGAAAATTATCATACTGGTAATAATTGAGCTGGTTCTGAATGTTCATGTGTTGCTCGAAATTATACTGCTGAATCGGCTCTTGTCTCTCTGGAAGCATCCTGCAATTCGAATGCTGAAACTCGCTTCCGGAAACCCAAACTCACATCGGATATTGTTGTGGAATCGGAGGCTGGTCGGAGCTGCTGATGTTGGTGCTCTCAACCGGATCGACCCGCTCCGTGTCAACTTCCTTCTTGACTTTGTTTCGATGCCGTCTGAAATAAATTCGTCGAATCGATTGCGTCTCGTCACAATCACTCACTGCTCGTCGGGATTCGCGTAATGCTTCGCAATGAAATCGAGCAAAACTTGACATCTGATGACGATCGGATCATCTCGTTTTTTGGGATTCGGAAGCAATTCGTAAATTTTGTCGAGCTGCCCTTTCACGTACATCACATGCTCTCTTGAATGAGAAACAAACAATTTGAGAATCGACTTAAAAAAAAGAAAATCGCCCACTTGAAAAGCTCGCGCTTCCAATCGGAAAAATCCATTCGTTGGAGGAAGTCGCGCCAAAACGCGAATGCGATCTCGTCGATTCGCGCTTCTGGTACGCGATGTCGTAGAACATCGCCGAGAATTCGTAGCGCGTTGTCGGTAGCCATTTTGAGACGCGTATTCGTCTTGTAGACCTCCTAGAATCGCGCATCGACAACGTGCTTATTCACGAAATCGCCTACCCCAATAATCGAGATGTGCTCCTCGAGAAAAACACTGAGAAACTCGACGAAGGCCTTGCAAACGTGCGGTCGAAGCTCGTGGAGATGATGGCGAGTTGTCGTCTCGACGCCGGCGACGAACATGCCCAGCAGAACGTCTCTCTTGTGCTCGATCGGAACCGGCTCATCGCCACCATTCTTGCTCTTTTCAGCGATCGTCTTGAAGCATTGAAGAATCGGAAAAGTGTTGCCATCCTGCAAAAAAAACAAAGAATGACAATCTCTCTCTTTCTCTAAAAATAATTAACTGACCAATTTCATCAAAATCTGTGGTATATTCAGACGGTAGATCATTGCTTCCGTTGCGTTTGGCAATTTGTCGCGAACGAAAACGAGAATGTCCGATATTTTTAACCGATTGGCCAATTGACCGCTCTCGTTGCCGGCAGCGTCCGATTGGTTCATCAGATCAATTAGATTGATGATCAATGCCGGCAAGTCCATTTCGGAGTAGTTGGACATTGTGGGTTCGCTGAGATGCTTTTCGGTGTCTGATAAATAAAATATATAAAAAAATATATATAATGATGAAAATTGAGGGAACACGTGGCGGTCAACGAGCGAACAGAAACGCATAAAATGCGGAAACGGTACGTTTATGGCCATCGAATTATGTCGCCTCAATCACCATGTTAATGTGTGATTCCTTTATTTATTTTATACAACCAGCTGGTCTTTACACGAAATTCACAACTCTTGAATTGAGAATTACATATTAAGGAAACTAAGAAAGGGGGGGGGGTTCGATTATGATGGTCCGTTTATTGCGAATAACTCGTGATTTAACATTTCTTCTCAAAGTGCTCTCACCATGAAAAATTTTTTGATTACTGAAGAAATTTCGAATTGAAAGTATTTTCGAAATTCTATGCGCTACTTAATATAACTTGCCTATTAACTATATATGCTGTTGCATGTCTCAAAAACGAAAAACTTAAACTAGTAATACCCAAAAAAAAATGGAATCAAAGGCAATAGGATGCATTAAATTGATAAAATGATTAGCATGTGGCGAGGCTTCTACTATGGGATGGCAAGCCGAAGCCACCTTCGGGACGCCCAAAATTCGTTGGCGAGGGCGTGTTTCAAATCAATATCGAATGGAAAGCAAGACGAAAAAAGTTTTATCGGGGAAAACAATGACTAGTGTGCCAAGTGTGCCCTCCTCCTTCATATGGCGGCTGTAAAAAACCGAATCGGCGACCGCCTACTCGCCCCTCTCTCTCTCTTTCTCTCTCTTGCTCACTCTCTCTCTCGCTCCTCTGCCGCCAAGCGCTGCCGGTGGCGCGCTGGTTGGGCGGGAAGCATAAGTTTGAAAATGGCGAGCGAGATTGAGGGGGGACCTGGCGGGGCGCACGCCGAAATCATAACAATGCGAGGGTGTCAAAATAATATTTGGTTTACACTAATTAGGGTAATTACTCGAATAGAGAGTACGGTAGTTTTTCCACAGAATTGGTCTATTATAAATTTTTGAACGCACAGAAAAAAATCAAGCAGCAAGAATTTGTTGATTCTCATTGATTCACAAATAATGAATCATATGACGACTTCGAGAATCTCACACACAAAAGTTGATTGCGAAATCTTCAATTGTACCATTTAAAATGAGTGAGTAAAATTTCGACCTTATACAGGGTGGTCCATAATTATGGAATAACACAAGTTTGAAGCCTTCTGGCAGATGCTGGCACATTTTTCGCGCACCAATTTTATTAATTTTTTTTTGAATTTCCAGCATCAAGAAGAATTCCAAATTTGCACGATATAGTATTGAAGAACAAAGAGAAATGGTCCGCTATGTGTACAAGTAACGAGAATTCTTTGAAAATTACCGAATTTCATTTTTTTCCAGAAACAAATTCATTTTTGATGGAAATTTGTCTCACATGAATCCTTACTGTCCAACGAACAACGTGTTCTGGAAATCGTATGTGGACCTTGGATTGTCGACGAGAAGTCCTATCGGATTGGCTGCCCAGTAAGAGGAGCTCGTCGTCTGAAATTCCAATTTTTGTCTTTTTAGATATCGCCAAATTTTGGCAAAACTTGACACGCTGGGACTCCCTCAAAATGTTGTCGAATCGATTTATGCGATTCGCTAATGCGTTTCTGTAAATATTATATAATTAATGAATTGCCTAATTAACCTGTAAATACTTTTTTGCTCCCTCAACTCATCATCGCCGAATCCTTAATTATTTAATTGGATTATTAATTGCATGTCGCTCGGAATAAATTATACTCTAGGTGAAATGCGTTATTTGAAAATCATTCATAGTTGAATTTTGGAATAAAAATTGACCCCCTCTCATTTTGGCTCTAAAGTTTTTGGAATAGAAAACCCCGCAAAAAATGAATTGAATTAAAATGTCCCCTTTATGACAAAAAACGCGCATCGATTACATTTTCTTTGCAAGCAAAAATGACGATATTATGGTTTTTGGCGTGCCCATCGATTTTCAAACGAAATGGCGTCACCTCCGGCGGGCAAATCGTTGTGGGACCTCGTTGGGCGCGAGATGGTGATATAGATAAGAACACACGGACCCTTGTCATTGTTTTTATTATCGCCATCACCAATCACCACCCGCCCCCTCTCTCGCTGGTGTCATTTCGACCCACCCCCTGTCGTCGCACACAGTTGGCGACATATTCTCATCGAGACGATGAGCAATATATGCGCGACGAATCGATGACTCACTTGAAAATTCGGGTCGCTCAAGACTACTGGGATGCACACCAAAACAAAAAAAAAACGAAATGTCGCGTCGCATTTGTTTTATTTTTTCTTGTAGGAATCGGGCGGGACGATCGCGTGCCACACTTTTTTTTTCGTTTTGAACCCCCCGGCGAACAAAAATTATTAATTTGAGAGAAGATTCCTCGATTTGAGCAAACTTTTTCCCTAGTTTTCAGTTTTGGTCCCGAATTTCCCTATTGCTCCCAGTTAACAGGAACTTGGCTGTCAGCAGCAGAATTTCAAATCGTACATGAGTGACGTCATTTTAAACAGAAAGTTTTTAAAATCAAGAAATTGCGGATTACTGTAGACCCCCCCCCTCTTTTTTTTCCATTTTCAATTTCGTTGAATTCTGACATTTAGGTGTTTCAGCCAATCAAACAGACACACACACACACACAAAAAAATGAACTGCTTAAAAAGATATAACAAATTTGTGCGAATTTTGAAAACGATCGCGCCAAACCAATGGAAAAGCAGCTCTTTTTCGCGTTTTGAAAACGTTTTGAAACAAACGCCAAACAACGTCATTTTCGGCGACAATCTGCCCGAATTGCTGACCGAAAAGGTAAAAGTCGAAATATTGGAACATCGATTTCCAATAATCGAATTATGTTTGCCTTTTATGGTTTGCTGAATTCGCCGAATTGTATCTTGCAATTTATTTCAAAATTATTACAATCAATCAAACTAATCGATAAGCTTACATTTGTTCCAGTTTCTTTATTGCGATCAACACGCCAGAGGTACAATGAAGTGCCTCAGTCAGATAGCGAATGCCGATAGCTCGAGCATGTCGGGTAGTGAAAGAGATCAGCTGATCGACATGTTCGTGGAGGTGATCAGCTCCATCAAAGATGTTGAAGTGATGTGCCGTCGAAAACACGAAACGGTGGTCTCGTTGATTGATTTCATCACGATATTTCACGACAACCATAGCCAATTGCTTGAAGTAGGGCTTGAATTGCGATTCGAAGAAATTGCACCAATTTATTTTTTTTTTAGAAAGAGTTCCCGAATCCAACTAGAAATGCTAAAGTGAAAGCTCACCATTTAAAGGCAATGACGATAGTGAAGGAGGCGACAATGTATGGGAATATTATTTTGTTCGATCGTGCTATTCGATTTTGGAATAATCTTTCGATTAAGCTGGCCAATGAGGCTCACAAATTTGGGGTCCACCTCCAACATTATCGGTATTGATATTCGTATTTTTGCCAATTAATATTTTGGTTGTTCCAGGCAGAATTTGCACGAGGTCTATCCGGTTCTCAAGGATCAACTGCTGAGAGTCTCGTTTGATCCTTCGAATAATAACAACGCGGTTATTCCCACGATGCTCCCAACCGCTGAAAGTGTGCAAATTTTGCGCAACACCGTTGAGAATCTCGATCGATTATTTGAGGATGAATCGTCGGTGAAACGGTAAAATCGATTTAAATTTTCTTTTTCGACCGAAAGAATTTCAGTAATGACGCCAACGCGCTGATGAGACCGACATCCGATGAGGATGGTGGTGGAATCTTGAAAGCAATGGCCATGCTTCAATTGGATTTCGGCGAAATTCGTCGAATCGTCGCTCAGATTCCGCGATTGCCAACGTTGATCATGTAGTGTGCGAAAATAATTATGCGATTTTCAGAAATGCTGACGCCGACGTGGCACAACCGGCAGAGACTTCAACATCGCCCATACTTCAAAAGTGATATTCGCTTTTTTTTTCAAGATCATAATTTTGATTTTCAGATTTATCGATTCAATGGAACCTGAATTGATTATTGATGAGGAGATTTCGAGTATTCATCAGGTAATAATGATTGATGATAAGGTTGATGAGGTTGAGACGGAAAAAGTTGTGGAAAAAAACGAGGCTGAAGAATTTGTTGAAGACGTTGACGATGACTCGTTCATATACAAACGGTTTGAAAATTGGAAATTCCAATTTTTTTTGATCTACAGTATTCAGATGGATTCACGCATCGAACACAATTATTCCGGAACCATATCTTCTCCAGATTCCCGAGGAAGAGCTGCAAGCGTTGAAGATGAGCTGCCCGCCCAAATCCAAAGTGCACTCGTGAGTGGATTTTTTGAAATTTTTATTGTCAGACTTGTGTGTGATTTCAGAAGAACTATTTCACCGATCGAGAAGAAGCTTTCGCCGCCGGGAATGCCGGCGATCAAGTTTTTTATGAGGCGCGCAAGTTTGAATAGGGCTGGCGAACCCGTTTCCATGTAACTACACGATTTCGAGAAAACCTCAACGATTTTTTTGTGGGATTTAGGTTTCCTGATGATCTGAAGCCTGATGAGCCGAAAAGAGCCTATTTCTACTTCAGCTATGCCCGTCGAAGTGGAGCAGTTGCGAGCGGTTCGATTACCCCGACGACCAGTTCTCATTCGTCGGAGAGATGCAAGGACTCAACGTGAGCCTTTAATTCATTGGTTTCTTCTCATTATTCATCAATTCATAGAGATGCTACGCAAACCGTCAAAGTCGATTCTAACGCACGTAAGCGAAAGGTGCTCAATTGGGAGTCAACATCGAGCTCCGACGAAGAGGATCAGAAGAACAAGTAAGGGAGGGGGTTGCGATTGGTAGGCATTCATAATGGTATTCAGAAGTGTCAATGATAGCAGAAATGTTAAAATTTTGAAAAAACGACCGGCCGCGTCGTCGAAACGCCTCAAAATTGAAGTGAAAGCCGGCGAGATATCAAAAGCGGCGAAACCCGAAATGAAACGGTATGCATTTGGTCGAATTCAATTTTTTTTTATTAATTTTTGAAAATCTCAGAGCCGACAATCCATCGAAAAAAGGACATGAGGTAAGAGTGGAAAAATTGCTCAATCGAATATTTTTTTTTCAGGTCTCATCGTGCTTGACGGAACTCCTCAATTTGGCGGGAAACTCGGTAACCCTTTGAATTAATTATAAGTATAATTAATTAATTATTATAACACATCCATTTTGGAAAATAATGAACTTGATGCCATGTGCCATAATTAGTTTTTTTTTGCCTAATTATCTATTATTGTTTCACCTGTGAATGAAGAATAGTAAGCCCCGTGCGACCCCCCCCCCTTTAAATTGTAAATGATCGATTACAAAGAGCCCAATAATAGTTTATTGAGATGATGGAAGTGAATTGAAAAATTGTTGAAAATTGTCTTTTGATTGAATAAATGCGATTTTTGAGATGAAAGGAATGCCGCCAACGAGGGCGGTACATAAAAGGAAAGAGAGCGTTGAGAGAGGGGAGAGCGTCATGCGACGAGAGTGAAGCTTGCCAGTCCTCTTATGGAATTTACTGTAACTCGACGCATGAGGGAGGAAATTTTGGGATTTTCTGAAAATGATTAACTATTTTTAAGGTAATTATGTGGCAATTAAATATTGGGACTTTGTAAAATAGAAAAATTAAGATTTAAAATCATGCAATCATTTTTCACATTTGAAATTTGCCGAAAAAGCGGAACCGGAAACAAAATGAGAATTCCACGTGCAAATTCTAGCTATTAATTTTTTGCAGCATGCGCCTTTGATGTACTGTAATTCGCAGCCAACAAAAAAAAATTATTGACGAGACCAATTTGCGTTTTAAGAGTCGCTACTAGAATGACTGAGATTCGAACCTTTAGAATTTTGATAACTTGAGACTTGAAAAGCAAATTTTAAAACGTTTTTGGATCTCGGATTTCAATTTCCACACAATTAAACAAATGTGGACCATCGGATGTTTTCAGCGCGGAAATTCAAATTTCGATTTTAGCAGTGGGAATTCGGGTACCGTACTACTGATAACCTGCGAATCATACTCATGGCAATGTGTTATCAAAAAAACCTATACAGGGTGGCCCATAAAAACACATTCAAAGTGATGTAATTTTTCAAAAAATGATCAAATCAACTTTGAAATTCACAAATAGTTTATTGAATCAATAATAAACAAAAAATACATAAACATTACTCGATACGATCTCCATTGTTCTTTATTACTTCTTTGAGCGTCTTTCGGGAATGCCTTCAACTGTGGCACGGAGGTATTCTGGAGATTATTTGGCCGAAACTTTTTTTCGATTACTCCAAATTGGTATGGGGATGTGCCTTGACCTTCGACTGAACTACTTATAAAAGTGAAGCTAGGAACTAGAAAATTTGGGAAAAAAATAATTAAAAAAAATTAATAAAATTGGTGCGCGAAAAATGCGCCAGCATCTGCCAGAAGGCCTCAAACTTGTGTTATTCCATAATTATGGACCACCCTGTATAAGACCGAATTTTTACTCACCCATCCCTCATTTTAAATGGTACAATTGAAGATTTCGCAATCAACTTTTGTGTAGTGCTTATTTTTTGTGTGTGAGATTCTCGAATTCGTCATATGATTCATAATTTTTGAATCAATGAGAATCAACAAATTCTTGCTGCTTGATTATTTTCCGTGCGTTCAAAAATTTATAATTGACCAATTCTGTGGAAAAACTACCGTACCTCTTTATTCGAGTAATTACCCTAATTAGTGTAAACCAAATACTTTTTTGACACCCCCCCCCATTGTTACGATTTCGGCGTGCGCCCCCGCCAGGTCCCCCCTCAATCTCGCTCGCCATTTTCAAACTTATGCTTCCCGCCCAACCAGCGCGCCACCGGCAGCGCTTGGCGGCAGAGGAGCGAGAGAGAGAGTGAGCAAGAGAGAGAAAGAGAGAGAGAGGGGCGAGTAGGCGGTCGCCGATTCGGTTTTTTACAGCCGCCATATGAAGGAGGAGGGCACACTTGGCACACTAGTCATTGTTTTCCCCGATAAAACTTTTTTCGTCTTGCTTTCCATTCGATATTGATTTGAAACACGCCCTCGCCAACGAATTTTGGGCGTCCCGAAGGTGGCTTCGGCTTGCCATCCCATAGTAGAAGCCTCGCCACATGCTAATCATTTTATCAATTTAATGCATCCTATTGCCTTTGATTCCATTTTTTTTTTGGGTATTACTAGTTTAAGTTTTTCGTTTTTGAGACATGCAACAGCATATATAGTTAATAGGCAAGTTATATTAAGTAGCGCATAGAATTTCGAAAATACTTTCAATTCGAAATGTCTTCAGTAATCAAAAAAATTTTCATGGTGAGAGCACTTTGAGAAGAAATGTTAAATCACGAGTTATTCGCAAAAAACGGACCATCATAATCGAACCCCCCCCCCTTTCTTAGTTTCCTTAATATGTAATTCTCAATTCAAGAGTTGTGAATTTCGTGTAAAGACCAGCTGGTTGTATAAAATAAATAAAGGAATCACACATTAACATGGTGATTGAGGCGACATAATTCGATGGCCATAAACGTACCGTTTCCGCATTTTATGCGTTTCTGTTCGCTCGTTGACCGCCACGTGTTCCCTCAATTTTCATCATTATATATATTTTTTTATATATTTTATTTATCAGACACCGAAAAGCATCTCAGCGAACCCACAATGTCCAACTACTCCGAAATGGACTTGCCGGCATTGATCATCAATCTAATTGATCTGATGAACCAATCGGACGCTGCCGGCAACGAGAGCGGTCAATTGGCCAATCGGTTAAAAATATCGGACATTCTCGTTTTCGTTCGCGACAAATTGCCAAACGCAACGGAAGCAATGATCTACCGTCTGAATATCCCACAGATTTTGATGAAATTGGTCAGTTAATTATTTTTAGAGAAAGAGAGAGATTGTCATTCTTTGTTTTTTTTGCAGGATGGCAACACTTTTCCGATTCTTCAATGCTTCAAGACGATCGCTGAAAAGAGCAAGAATGGTGGCGATGAGCCGGTTCCGATCGAGCACAAGAGAGACGTTCTGCTGGGCATGTTCGTCGCCGGCGTCGAGACGACAACTCGCCATCATCTCCACGAGCTTCGACCGCACGTTTGCAAGGCCTTCGTCGAGTTTCTCAGTGTTTTTCTCGAGGAGCACATCTCGATTATTGGGGTAGGCGATTTCGTGAATAAGCACGTTGTCGATGCGCGATTCTAGGAGGTCTAAAAGACGAATACGCGTCTCAAAATGGCTACCGACAACGCGCTACGAATTCTCGGCGATGTTCTACGACATCACGTACCAGAAGCGCGAATCGACGAGATCGCATTCGCGTTTTGGCGCGACTTCCTCCAACGAATGGATTTTTCCGATTGGAAGCGCGAGCTTTTCAAGTGGGCGATTTTCTTTTTTTTAAGTCGATTCTCAAATTGTTTGTTTCTCATTCAAGAGAGCATGTGATGTACGTGAAAGGGCAGCTCGACAAAATTTACGAATTGCTTCCGAATCCCAAAAAACGAGATGATCCGATCGTCATCAGATGTCAAGTTTTGCTCGATTTCATTGCGAAGCATTACGCGAATCCCGACGAGCAGTGAGTGATTGTGACGAGACGCAATCGATTCGACGAATTTATTTCAGACGGCATCGAAACAAAGTCAAGAAGGAAGTTGACACGGAGCGGGTCGATCCGGTTGAGAGCACCAACATCAGCAGCTCCGACCAGCCTCCGATTCCACAACAATATCCGATGTGAGTTTGGGTTTCCGGAAGCGAGTTTCAGCATTCGAATTGCAGGATGCTTCCGGCGAGACAAGAGCCGATTCAGCAGTATAATTTCGAGCAACACATGAACATTCAGAACCTTCTCAATTATTACCAGTGTGATAATTTGCATTAGAAAATTCTAAATGCGATTTTTTTCAGACCGCAGAATCCTTTCAACCCTTGGACGACTACATATCTAAGCCCAATGCAAAACAATTTCCAGGTTCCGCTTCTAATAAATGCTTTGAGCCATCGAGGTTTCAGCTCTTTGCCAATCAGTTCGGCTACCAGCAGCAATGGTTTCCATTCTACCCAAATCCTTCCCCGGCATTCCGTGATCGATTTGATTCGCCGATTCCAGGAGGTGATCGCCGACTTGCAGATCTCATGTCGACGAGAGCCTCACAAGCCGCGCACACCAATCGACTCCCATCGAATACGACATCCCCTTCCACGCGCATCGAATCATCGTTGAGCACGGTCGCCTCATCGCCAGGCCAATTGCGAGGCGATTCGTCGGCTGCCGTTGATTCGCAAGAATCGCAATTCGTCCACATTTTGTATAGAGAAGATCCAAGAAATTCCAATAACGTACGATTCTCATTTTGGGTGTTAATATTCAATATTTTGTAGAGGGGGGTCGCTCGAAAGCGGAATAGTTACACTGATGTCGAGGAAGCGTTGATGGCGATGTACATCTACACGTAAGGGCGTTCAATTCTAAACCGCTAAACGACAAAAATTTCAGCTTGTACCTTGAATCGGATAAGACCAATTTGAGACGCTTCAAAGGCGCCGGCGTTTGGAAAGAGTTCGTCAAGAAGCACTTCAAACCACGCACACCGGCCGCATTGAGTATGCAGTGAGCAATTTTGTTTTGTTGTTATTGTTGGTCCTGACACGATATTTTTCATTTTTCTAGATTTGCCAAAATGCTGACTCGAATTGAAACGATTATGGTGGAATATCATGTTCACGATTTCCTCAGACTCCTCAAAAACGAATACAAGTGAATTCTTGATCATCTCGAAATTAATTTTTTCCGGTTTTCTCTCTGTTCATTCATTATTCCCCCAGTGTATTATTTAATAAAGCTTGATGATTTTAATGTTTGTTGTCTCTGTAACCGAATGGAGCCGCGGCGCCCCCTATAAGGCGCCGTTATCAACGAGGCACCAGTCTAATTCCCCCACTGACGTCTCCCCCTGTGACCCCCCACCGCATTCACCTTGTATTTCATTATTTTACTTGTATTATTATGTTTAATCAATAAACCGTCGTAATAAGCAACTTGTGCATCACCCACTCTTACATCTCTTTATAAAGGTGCTTCGGAATCCTTCAAAATACTTTAATAAACA